GATTTCAGTGATACCAGCCCAGGTCTTGCAGCTAGAGCAAGAAGTTTGAAATTTATCAACTGTAGTTAGCAGATATTTATGAATCCTTGCTAGAAGGCTTCTTGCTGGAAGGCTCTGTTGGTCCCTATTCCACCCCCACACCCCTCATGTCATCCAGCTGAGACTCAAAGGTAGGAAGAAAAAGAGGCAGGATGATGGATAGTGGTGATGGTCCCTGGGTTGGGGAAAGCACAAGTTACCCACTTGGAAGTTACCCTCACACTCTGTTCTCTAATGTAGGGGAGTAAGAATAGAGATGGTTAAAGCTTCAGGGTGAGGGGCAGGCCAGGATTTGAATCCAGACCATATGACTCCACAGTGAACACACCTTACCACTACACAAAGAGGAGGATTTACCATGAAGCTAATGAAGCTTAACCTTCAGGTCCCTTACTTGCAAAGCCTCCTTCAAGGCTCTGGGCAGGGTCTTAATAATGTGTTCATGCGGTCGTGGTAACATTTAGAAAAGCAAGATATTTTAATAGCAATAGTTAAGAACCCAGTTGCTTTTCACTCAGACTCTCCCTCTAATACCTTCCCCTTGTTGAAAATTTTTGAGATTTAGCAAAGAGGAAGTTGACGTGGGATACAATTATTCTGGGTTATGTTTATGTGGTTTACATTATAGTTATTGATAGCCACGTGGGTTTAGAAATGGCTTCCAAGAATACCATTATTACCCATTGTGCTGAACAAAAGTTGTGGGGCCACAGGTCATATCTTGATATAAACCTGCCCTACATCATCCGGCCCCAAAAAGAATGTGGACTGTGGAGGAGACACAAGGTTTGAAATGTTGGAAACCAGAATCTAGTCTGGAAAACTCTTCCAGTCATCACACATGTAAAATATTAAGCAGAGGATTCAGTTCACTCTGGTTCAAATCCCTTCAAGAATTTGCATTTCTAACAAGTTCCCAGGAAATAATACTTAAGAATCACCTGCGGATCTTGTTAAACTGTAGATTCTGCATTAGTATTCTGGGATGGAAACAACTCTTCTCAGCAGGGGTTTGAACTGGAAGGAACTGGTTCGAAGCCCTGGTTATCACTAACACCTGATGTGGCAGTCAGCATCCAAGACAGACCCCAATGATTCCTGCCTCCTGCTATTCATGCCCTTGTTTAGTCTGCTCCCACACTGTATCAGGGTAATCTATGTGACCAATAGATCATGGATATGGTGGTGTGTCATTTCCAAGAGTACGTCATAAAAGGCATTGCAGCTTCTGCCTTGGTCTCTCTCACTCTCTCTTATCATTCACTCTGGAGGAAGTCAGCTGCCCGTGTCCTGAGCAGCCCTACAGAGTGGACCCCATGGTGAAAAACTGAGGTCTCCTGTCAACAGCTATACGAATTATGAACTTGGAAACAGATCCTCTAGCCCCAGACAAACATTCAGAGGAATGCAGACATGGCCAACAACTTGACGGCAACCTCATGTGAGATCCTGGATGGTTAGCCAGAACCACCCAGCTAAACTCCTCCCAAATTCTTGACCCACAGAAACTGTAAGATAATAACTGTTTGATGTTGTAAGCTACTAAATTTTGGACGTAATTTGTTATGCAGCAATAGATGACTAATACACCTAGTAAAAACGGTAGGTCTCTCCTGGTCAAGAATATATTCAATAATTCAATAAAGTCTTAGTGCTTATATATGTCAGAAATATGACAGGGAAAAAAAAAAAAGACTCATAGTGACCCTATAGGACAGAGGAGAACTGCCCCATGGGGTTTCCAAGGAGCAGCTGGTGGATTTGAACTGCCAACCTTTTGGTCAGCAGCCAAGCTCTTAACCACTGTGCCACCAGGACTCCAATACGATAGAAGTACTCCCAAATTTGACAACAATCCTATAATTTTCATGACATTACCAATAATAAATTGTGAAGTTGAAAGAAACTTTTCTAAACTATCATAAACAAAATTATTCTCATTAAAGATGCTGGGGAAAGACTGATTAATCTTTTTATTCTCTTTACAGATATTATAAAATTGTTGTATGAAAAGGCAATCAAAGATTATGCAGTCAGATTTCCTTCCTTAGTCTAAATAATTATTCACTTTTGTACCTAATTTTATCTCAAAAATCTTGCATTCTTTCTCTTAAAGGGCTCTATAAAACTTCTGCTTTCAAAGCCAAAACACACTTGACATCCTAAAAGGTTCTGGCAATTATTTACTAGAGACTGAAAATCATTTAGAATTCAAGCTGGAGTGTGGGTAAGGGGAATCTGGCATTGTGCCTCGGTCTAGATACTTTAACCAGTTGCTGTCAAGTCGATTCCAACTCATGGCAACCTCATGTGTGTCAGAACAGAACTGTACTCCATAGGGTTTTTAATGGCCGATTTTTTCGAAGTAGATCGCCAGGCCTTTCTTCTGAGATGCCTCTGGGTGGACTCGAACTGCAACCTTTTGGTTAGCAACAGAGCATGTTAATCATTTGCACCACCCAGGGACTCCTTCTAGATACTTTATCTCCTTGTAACAAAGAACGGACAAGATTCCCCCCTCCCACCCCCCACACAGAATTCTGTGTATATGTGAGGAAGGGGATCCCAATGCGGACTCTTGCCTGGCTTTCACAGGGTATTCTAATTAGTTGTCCCTCCTTTCAAAGCCCTAGGCTTTTAACTTCTGCCCTCCTCAATGTCCCTATCACCTTGTTACTTTTCTCTTCTCCCTTGGGAGAGACTAATGGAAACTGAGATATGATTATTTCTATCAATAACAGACTAGTTGAACAAATGGGAAAACAGCTTTGCAATGGGATGGGAGCTGCTAAAAAGAATTTGTAGGCCTATAAGCACCGTAAGGAGCCCTGGTGGTGCAGTGGTTAAGCACTCAGCTGCTAACCAAAAGGTCAGCAGTTCCAACCCACTAGCCACTCCTCAACAGAAAGACATGGCTGTCTGCTTCCATAGACATTACAGCCTTGGAAACCCTGTAGGGGGCAGTTCTACTCTGTCCTGTAGGGTCACTATGGGTCAGAATTGACTCAACTGTAATAGGTTTACAAGCATTGTATTTCAAAGATTCACATCTGTCTTAATTATCTAGTGCTGCTATAACAAAAATACCACAAGTAGGTGGCCTTAACAAACAAATTGATTTTCTCACAGTTTAGGAGGCTAGAAGTCTGAATTCAGGGTGCCAGCTCTAGGAGAAGGCTTTCTCTCTGTGTCCGCTCTGGAGGAAGGTCCTTGTCTGAGCTTCTTCTGCTCCTGAGCAATCTTCATGTGGCTTGGCATCTCTCTTTCCCCACCTCTGCTTCTCTTAGGTTTGTTTAATCTCTTTTATATCTCAAAAGAGATTGACTCAAGACACACCCTACACTAATCCTGTCTCATTCACATAGCAAAGGCAACCCATTCCCAAATGAGATTATAACCACAGGCATAAACGTTAGAATTTACAACTCATATTTTGGGGGGCCACAATTCAATCCATAACGTCCTTTCAAATTTTAACAATTCTGATCAATGACCTGTCAGTGTTTAACTGGCAGCTTTTTTTCTCTTTTAAGAGCCATAAAATAATAGTGCATCTTACAGTCAATGATAACTTAGATTTGATGAAATACAATGTAAGTATAAACTACATATAGCATGACTGTCACACCAGGACTGCAGTTTAGAAAACCCTAGGCTGGAAACTTCTTAAGCTATCTGGAAAGCCCTCTGTTAAAGTGGAAAACCTTAGGTGTTGTGGCACAGACAGAAACTGGTTGCCAGGAGCCTACTTGTTAGCTCTGGTTGACATGGCAATCACAGGGTATTGTCATGTAAGTCAGGAATGGGACAAGGATTCTAATGTTGTGGCTTCTCACACTGAAAGGAGATTAAAAGCCGAAGTGTGAGGTAGGACCGTTCTGACTTGATAGATCCCCAGTCATGCCCTGGCTGGGACTCCCACACCTAGGTGACAGCTGGCTGCACAAGCCCAAGAGGGAATAAAAGGTGCCTGGAGTCCTATAGGCTCGCTATGAGTCGGAATCCTCTCATAGCAATGAGTTTGGTTTGTCTGGTTTATCGTCAAGGGTGTCCTTTCTTAGTAGCTGAACTGTATCCTTTATCTAAGTTAGGCAAAATGTTGCCACCTAAGCAAGTCCTGGGAGCCACTAACCCAAGGGGATCTTGGGCTTCTACTGTATCAGCATAATATGCTTATTTGCATACAACAAAATTAGGATATATGCTAAATTAATAAGAGATTATTTCTTAGGGGTGGGATTAATGGAAATTGTAACTTTCTACTCTACATATTTCTGTATTACTTTAATTTTTAAAGAAACCACTTACATGTATTATTTCCATAATCATAAAAAAAGGTAAAAAAAATTTTAATTAAACAATACAGGACAATGTTAAAAATAAAGTGAGGAGGCGACTGCTGATTTTTTTTTACTCCCCCTCCCCACCCTTCATTAAATTTTTATTGAGCATGAATTACTATTCCAGTACAAATATTTGTCTTAAGAAATAAAAGAAACTATCCAAAGTCCAATTTTATTTCCTCAAATAAAAGTAAACGTACAAATCCTTCAAAATCGTGTGGGAAAAGTACAGTTTGTTTCTAAATTAAATTGATAGACGGTTTGGACATTTTATTCATTAAGCAAACACTTTGGTATAAATAAACTCAGCACCTACCGTTTGGTAGATACAATTCTGGCGGCTTTCAGGTTTGTTACCTCGTTTGATTCAAGACTATCAAAAGATGGTTTCAAGAAACCGGTAACGTTCTAAAAACGCATTCCCTGCGCAGGAAGGAACCCCACACCTTAGCGTCTCCTTTATCACGTGACCCTGTGATTGGAGGAAACCATCTTAAGCGCTTCTTAGAGAGAAAACTACATCTCCCAGAATTCTTGCGCTTTGCGTCGTGCTGGCACTTTTACTGGCCGGGTCTTAGGGCTGAGCCTGTAGCCGGGCGCCATCTTTGAGGCTGGCAGTCTTGGATTTCTGCTGGTGTTGCTGCTGCGAGGACGGCGGGTGGCAGCGGCTAAGAAAGAAGAAAGACGTGGCAGCAAGCGGGAGTCGGGGGTAGTGTCGCCGGTTCGGTAAAGTTCTGTTCTCTGGTAACTAGACCCGTTTTTTAATTCCCGAGTGGCTTGGGGCCGGGGAGGTGGGGAGAGGGCGAGGGGAGTGGCAGCGGCCTCCCCTCGCCCCTGGGTCGGGGCCTAGCCCGGGAAGTCAGAGTGGGTCTTTCGGCCCCGCAGTAACGACCCCATCTCCCCACCTCCCGGCTGCTGCCCTCGCCGGGGCAGGCTGAGAACCCCGGGCTCCCGCTCACTTTTCTCACCTACCCTGCCCCCACCCACACTACCCCACTTCCACCCCACCCCAGTCCCACGGCGCCTGCTCTTTTCCCAACCAACCAACCTCCCTCCCCTCCCCCACATCCGGCCGCTGTTAGCGAAACTTGTAGGAGACCCGAGCAGCGCCAGAAGACAGACTGCTCCCCTGACTCCCGGAGAGATAACTGACATTAGGTTGCTTTGTTCGGGATAACAGTTTCTCTAGTTTAGCAGACCCCCACTGCCTAAGTCAGACTGAGTGCCAGGAGCTGAATTTACTTACTCTCATTCCTCTCCAGGATCCCACTACTTTGGAGGTTTTTCTCAAACTCCACATACAGAAAGCCACCGACCTTACTCCGGTATTCTACACCCCTTCCCTACCCTAATTACACTCCCACCCCCAGCCCTCACCATCGGAGTCAAGAGCAACAGGGACACTTCCGTTCTCCTTGTAGGATTGATGAAACCGTAATGAAGAACACCCCCCAAACTCCCATAATCGGTGCGGAATCCTATGGGGGAAGGCTTGTATTGTTCGCATTTTCCAGGTTTTGGTTCAGGACCTTGAGAAGGAGGCTGTGGAACTAGTGATAGCGATGCTTTTTAGGGTAAATGTATGTAGGTATTGGGGGAAAGGGAGGGATCAATCAAGAAGGAATGAAAGTGGTTTAAAACTCATTTCAGTTTTTGCTGCACGTATAGAGTTCAACTTGAGTTACTGATATACAGCTTGTAAAGCTTCTCCAGTCTAAAAATGTCTGAAAGCTAAATTTGGATTAACTCTTGATGCAAACAGTAAAATTAAAAATGCAGTTTGTAACCTTATTTCATAATTTTACTTTCAAGGCTTTTTTTTTTTTTTTTAAAGCCATCCAGATTTTTTAAAATTGTATTGCTTTTAATTAGAGCTGAAAGAGCTCAGTTAACATTTGCTGTTAGTGACCAGTATGTGGAGTCTGATTTAACTTTCCAGAATTGACTTACTGGATTGTATTCACAAATCACAATCCTAAATGATGAATGTTAAATGATGCACTATGTTTTTGTTTAAATGAAGTTTCCTAAAAATATTTAATTTCAGAATTAAGGGGAAATCAATGTTGCTATCATAAGGCATCGTAAGATATGTATTTAAAGAGCTGAAGGCAGATTAGTTCTTAATGAAGCAGAAAGAACATAGACCTGGAATTTGGAAGACCTGGCTTCTAGCTGCTACCGACCAACTCTATGACTCTGGGGAAGTGGGCCTCAGTTCTTTTTTCTATAACATGAGGAGATTGGACTGTTTGAGTTCAGAACTCAGAGAGTTGGAAGGGATCCTAAAGCCCTCTAAGAAAAAGTTTGGGAATGTTCTCCATTGCTGTCACTTTTCCTCCAAAAATAACCTGGCTTGGAAGTTGTTGGTCCAGAGGGAACTTGACTCCCCATAGAAATTGGAGAAAAGGCAATGCAAGTAGAGAGGAACAGCTGTATTTCTGCTTGAGTAGTAAACCCACTCCCAGATTCTGGTACAAGTTTTGGAGACATAAAGAGAATGAGTATATGTACCTTAAATGTGCCAGTTTCCTCGCTCTCTCCTGGCAGAAGATGCAGCACTTTGACCGGTACTGGGATTCTGGGATGTGTTCCTACTAATTCTAATACTGATGAAGAAGATGTGGTAGAGGCAAAGATGGTGGCTGAAGGAGTAGATAAAGAAGCAAAATTGCCTGCTAGAAAGAAAAGAAAGAAGGGTTTGCGAATTAAAGGAAAAAGGCGCCGAAAAAAATTGCTCCTTGCCAAAAAGTTCAGTAAGGATTTGGTAGCTGGGAGGCCCATTGCAGATGCCCCTGCTTTGTTAGCTTCCAGTGCCACTGAGCAGGATGAAGAAAATCTTTTTGAGAGTAATATAGAAAAACAGATCTACCTACCTAGTACCAGAGCCAAGACTTCCATTGTGTGGCACTTCTTTCACGTTGACCCCCAGTACACCTGGCGAGCAATTTGTAATCTCTGTGAAAAAAGCGTCAGCAGAGGTAAACCTGGCAGCCATCTTGGTACGTCTACTCTTCAGCGACATTTGCAGGCAAGGCATTCACCTCACTGGACCAGGGCCAACAAGTTTGGAGTCACTAGTGGGGAGGAGGATTTTACCTTGGATGTGCCTTTATCTCCCTCTTCTCCTGGAAGCAATGGAAGTTTTGAATATATCCCTACTGATCCTTTAGATGGTAATAGAATGGGCAAGAAACTACATAAATCAGCATCTTATGCCCTGAGGGCAGAAAGAGGGAGATTTCTCATCAAAAGTAACATTGTCAAACATGCCTTAATTCCTGGAACAAGAGCCAAGACATCTGCAGTTTGGAATTTTTTTTACACTGATCCTCAGCACATCTCAAGAGCTGTGTGTAATATATGTAAAAGAAGTGTGAGCCGGGGTAGGCCAGGATCCCACTTAGGAACTTCAACACTTCAACGACACCTACAGGCCACGCATCCCATCCATTGGGCTGTTGCCAACAAAGATAATGGTGCTGTTGGAAATGGATTAGATGAGGCCGAGACTGAGAGAAATGATGTCTTGAGCGATCCTCTGCGTGGAGAGAAGTCTACAGGTAGCCAAGATTTAACAGCTGAGGATCTCAGTGACTCTGATTCAGATGAACCTCCTGTGTTAGAAGTTGAAAATAGAAGATCTGAGAGTCCCGCTCCTATTGCAGAGCAAGACAGTGTGATGAATGCACAGGAAGGAGAAAGAACATATTGTGAAAATTCAGTCTCAAGTCAAATTAGTCAAGCAATTATTCAGATGATTGTAGAGGATATGCATCCTTACAACTACTTCGCAACCCCAGCCTTTCAGAGATTCATGCAGATTGTGGCCCCTAACTATAGGTTGCCGTCAGAGACTTACTTTTTCACTAAGGCTGTACCTCAGTTATATGATTGGGTCAGAGAAAAAATTTTCTTAACTTTGGAGAATGTACAAAGCCAAAAGATCCATCTGACTGTTGACATATGGACCAATGACCCATTCACCAACTATTTCATTGTGACTGTACACTGGGTCTCTTTGGAAACTGTACCTTCTAATAATGGCAGGATCCCAAATTTTAGAAAATGGGCAGTGCTTTGTGTAACAGGTTTGGCCAAAGACTGTTTGATAACCAACATTTTACAAGAATTAAACGACCAGATTGGTCTGTGGCTTTCTCCAAATTTTCTTATCCCTAGCTTCATTGTTTCTGACAATTCCTCTAGCGTGGTACATGCAATCAAAGATGGCGGTTTTACCCATGTGCCATGCTTTCTGCATTGTTTAAATATAGTCATTCAAGACTTTTTCTGTGAGCACAAAAGCATTGAGAATATGTTAGTGGCTGCTAGAAAAACCTGTCATCATTTTAGTCATTCGGTCAAGGCTCGTCAGATACTGCAAGAGTTCCAAAATGATCGCCAACTTCCATGGAAGAATTTGAAGCAGGATGAAACTGGCCATTGGATTTCTACATTTTATATGTTAAGATGGCTCTTAGAGCATTGCTACTCAGTTCACCATAGTCTTGGCAGAGCCAGTGGAGTTGTGCTCACGTCCCTTCAGTGGACTCTAATGACTCACGTTTGTGATATTCTTAAGCCATTTGAGGAGACCACCCAGAAAGTGAGTGTGAAAACCACAGGATTGAATCAGGTGCTACCCCTAATACGTCATCTACTCCTTTCCCTGCAGAAACTTAGAGAAGATTTTCAAGTCAGAGGTATTACTCAGGCCCTCAATCTGGTGGACAGTTTATCTCTGAAACTTGAAACTGACAGCCTTCTAAGTGCCATGCTCAAATCCAAGCCCTGTATCTTGGCTACTTTGTTAGATCCTTGCTTTAAAAACAGTTTGGAAGACTTTTTTCCTCAAGGTGCTGATTTAGAAACTTATAAGCAGATTCTTGCAGAAGAGGTTTGTAATTATATGGAATCTTCACCAGAGGTCTGCCGTGTTGCAACTTCAGAAGCTGCTGGTCCCTCAGCTACAGGAGGAGCTGATTCATTTACCTCATCTATAAAAGAAGGCACCTCCAGTTCAGGCCCCATTGATAGCTCAGCTGCAGATAATATTGCCATTGGAAGCAAAAGCTTCATGTTTCCTTCTGCTATAGCAGTAGTGGATGAATACTTCAAAGAGAAGTATTCAGAAATCTCAGGAGGTGATGACCCTTTGATTTACTGGCAGAGGAAGGTGAGCATATGGCCAGCTTTGACCCAAGTTGCCATTCAGTATCTAAGCTGCCCCATGTGTAGTTGGCAGTCTGAGTGTATCTTTACTACAAATAGCCACTTTCATCCAAAGCAGATCATGAGCCTGGACTTTGACAATATAGAACAGCTGATGTTCTTGAAAATGAACTTGAAAAATGTTAACTATGATTATTCTACGTTGGTTCTGAGTTGGGATCCTGAGAATGAAGTTGTTCAAAGCAGTGAAAAAGAAATATTATCTTGATTTCTTTTTCCTTTCTCCATTTAAAATGAGCAACTTTTTGCTATATTACTGTATCCTAATTGCTATAATTGTTACATGTAGTCCTACTAATTACTTAATCTATAAAAACAAATCTGGGGAAACATTAAAAAAGGCAGAAAATTCCTCAGAGGCAATATAATTTTGCTAAAATGAAGATTACAGATTTCACAGTAGTAATTTGATGTAGCAAGCACTTGAAATTTTGTTTCTATCAATTGAGAGAGAAGAAATTTTTTTTTTAACTGAAAAAAAAAAAAATAGTGCAGCATTGAAAGGCTTTAGGCTATTTCTGGCTGGTAGATTTAACTAGTAATTGGTTTTAAGTAAAACTTTTCCCCAGTATGGGAAGTGTGATTTCTCTAAACTAATGGAATGAGAATAAAGCATACTAAGGTGGTCTTCCTTACCCTCGCCCCCATTTTTTTTATTTCTTTAAAAACCCTGATGCTTACCTACAACTTGGCAAAAACAAAACCCATAAAATTGTTTTATATTTGGAAATTTCTAAATGCCTCCTCATACTGGTCAGCTTTATAATTTCAACTTACTGTGATAGAGTTTACCCATTATATTTAGGATTGGAGCTGTATGAAATTTGGGAATTTTAGAAAATAATTAAGCAATTTACTTTTATTCTTCGAATTGCTTTTTTTTAACCTTTATGTAATAGTGTAAAAACAATAAAATTGTATAGGTACAGCTGCATAATTTAAGGGTAAATGACATAGTAAAAAGGTTATGAAAGATGGAAAAGATTGAATGGGAATTGGAATGAAAGCCCCATGACTGTACTTTGACGAACCCGGTATGCATTTCCCAGAGAATATTTCCCTAATTTCAAATGATTTAAAGTGTCTTTTCTTTCTCTTTTCTTTTTTTTTTAATATACTGAGTGACCCATAATACTGTATTCTTAACTATCTATGAGAGTGTTTTGGCCACTGTATTCTTAACTAAAAATAAGCAGTCAATATTTTCATGTGTTAGGAGTCATTGTCTCACTGGTAAAAGAAGGAAATTGATCTCAATGACCTTTAAGGTCTCTTTCCACTCTGTTTCAGTGAGTGAGTGAGAAGCCAGAAAGTGATGACCTTTTAGTAAAAGTCTATTAGAAGTTTCAGACTGAATAACTAATGTAAGATCCCAATTTTTCCTTTTTTTCATTTTAGATTTGGGGATATTCCCTGCCCAAAAAATTCCTGGAAAATTGACTAGTATTAAGTGTGAGTAAAAGGTGTCCACTTTTTTTTAAGTTTTGATTTTAGTTTTGTCTTGGATAGTATTTGGCAAGATTTAGCCTAGAAATTATGTAGTATTTATTACATGAGAATCAAAATTGCTTTGTTACTGGGCTGGTTTCAAAATTTAGAACTCATTTCTGTGTATCAAAATAGGTTTTTTTTTTTTGTTTTTTTTTTTTTAATTTTAAAATGGTAAACGTACCATTGTAAAGTGAAATTTCAGCTCCTTTGCTAATTGGAGTAAATGGATGATTACAACGTTGTAGCCATTAGCAATAAAAAGTTTGGAACTAGGCTGCATAAGCAAGCCTTTGTAGGGCCAATGTTGAATGTCATGTCAGTGACATTGGTGTTCATATAAAAGAAGACAAAATATTCCCTTAGATAAAAATTTTCTGTGTTTGACAGTGCCAGTTCAGGATGGCTATAATGCTGCTCTGCCTTTTACAACTTGCTGCACCGCTCTGTAGTTACTCTGTAACTGTACGTTTCTATCTTTTTTGGTTAAACACTCCCTGAGAATGATGATGATATACATACATCCGTATTATACACATTCACATGTGTGTAAGGATTTCCCTTCATCTTTGTTTTATGGGCTGGGCAAATTTAGTGTAACATTAATTTTGTGATACTTTGATATAAGAGTAAGTTCACTATTTTTATAATGAACTCAAATCTAAAGTCTTTTATAGTGTATTTTAAAAGGGAAAACTTACCTAAATGTTTTATTTCTACACGTGTATGTATATGTGTGTGTGTGTGTGTGTGTGTGTATAAGCCAGTTAGTATCTATGTACATTTATATACATAAAACACTTTATATTTTTACATATAAGTATGCTTTTATTATACAGATAATAAAGATGGGGGAAGGTTTCTGTTTTTTTCTTAATAGGTGAAGAAATCTTGAAGACCAGAAATTGGATCTTATTGAATTTTGGTGTTTTTTTTAACTTTTTCTTTTATTCTTTTCTTTTTAAATTACATTGTTCGGCTATGGAAGATGGATCTTTTTTTTCTTTTTTTTTTTTTAAAATAACCCGTTGAATCTCAAGTTCATTTTTAAATGAACTTTTTTTGTTGTTTTTTTGTTTTTTGTTTTTGAGGAGATAACTAACCCTAGCTGTCTCCAGTCTGACAAAGGTTATTCGAATGGACTTAATCTTCCAGTAGTTGGGAGATATTTTAAAAGCACATCCTGTGTTTGAATTGTGGCTGAGAGGTTTCCTTGGCAATGTGAGGAGGAAAATTCTTTCTGCCTCATTATTATTAATTCATGGATTGAGTGTTGGTTCGACCTACAGGAGTAATAGATTGGAACTCAGTGAAGACCCAGATGTTCCTGTTGAGATCAGCCAGCTAATGTAAGTGTGGAAGTGGGTTCCTTTTTTTCCCCCTCATTAAAGGGGACAACATTTTTGTGATTTAAGGCATAATTTTCCTGGATTAGTAAGAAATTAAAAGGCCATTGTCAAGATATTTTTACCAGCTTTTAGTTTTTGGACAGAAACATCTTTTGCGTATGTGTGTCATGATGGATGTACATTGCAAAAAAAAGGTAAAAACAATATAGCCAAGGTGAAAATCCCCCTGTAATTCCATCTCCCCCGAGAAAAGCACTGTTAACAGTTTTATCAGGACATAGTTCTATGTCCATACATACAGCTGTGCCTCATCTTTTTTTAATCACTACGTGGTGTACCGTTATATGAATGTTCTGTAATGTAATGTATTCCTCATCATTCCCCCATCCACTTTAATTTTAATGGCAAAAACTATGAGTTATTAAAATAGCCCTGCACTCAATAACAGCCCTGTACACATCTGTCTAAACTTACTTCTTTAGAACCAGCTCTTAGATGTGAATTTGTGGAATTGTCATATATTACTCTCTAAAAAGGTTGTGCCAATTTAGTAAACAACTAACAAGTTGTTTTTTTTTTAATTTGTAAAAAAAAAAAAAAAAAAAATTCTTTTTAATAAAAACACTGATATTTGGCCATGTTGCTGATAAGTCTTTTGCTATATAAATGTTTTTCATTTTATGTAGTCAAATTATCTGTTTTTTATTGTTGAGGTTTGGTATCAGTTTATTGTTAACTTTGGTATCATGCTAAAGAAGATTTTTTTCACCCTAAACTGATTTTAAAAGTACCTTGCATTTTCTGCTAGTACTTGGATGATTATGTTTTTCATATTTAAAATTTTATTTAGGTCTCATAGTTATGTGGTATGACCACTCTTCCTCCCACAAGCATGGTAGACATTGTCACATATGACTTGCCTGTTTGCTGAGCCCAGTTACAAGTTCAGAATTCATCTTAGTATCGTTGTTGGGTGCTGTCAAGTTGATTTTGACTCATAGTGACCTCGTGATAGAGTAGAACTGCACCATAGGGTTTTCTAGGCTGTAATCTTTACGGGAGCAGATTGTCAGGTCTTTTTCTGTGGAGCCACTGGGTGCGTGGGTTTGAACCGTCAACCTTTTGATCAGCAACCAAGCACTTAACCGTTGCACCACCAGGGCTCCTTTTCTTAGTATGTTGTTAGGTGCTATCTAGTCAATTTTCAACTCATAGCGACCCCATGTGACAAGAGTAGAACTGCCCCATACGGTTTCCTAGGCTGTAATCTTCACGGAAGCAGATTGCCAGGTCTTTGTCCCATGGAGCAGCTGGGTGGGTTTGAACTGTACTTAACCGTTATGCCACCAGGGCTCCTCTTTCTTAGTATAGTGCTCTAATAGAGTTGTTATGTGAGCTGAAACTAAAACCTCTTTGCCATACCTGCATTTATTCACCTGGAATATTTTTTTTAATGAAGTAGAAAAAATTTTTTTTAATGGCTGGCCTTTTTTGTTGTTGTTGTTAATTTCAAAAGCCACTCTTTTCATAAATCACATTTATTCATGGACTTAAGTTAAATTGATCTGTGTACTCATTTATTTGCCAGTATTTAAATGTTACGTTTCACACCTATTATATCAGGTAGAGCTGGACCCTCCTATTCTTTTTTAAATTATCCTTTTCTCAAACAGTTATTCTTCTAGATGATTTTACAGTCCTGTCACATTTCAATAATAAACTCAAATTGGGATTTTGACTTGAATTATGTTCAGTGTATGGATTATCTGGGGGAGAAGTAACATCTTTAAGCCTTCTAGTCCATTTATGTCTCCATTTATCCAGGTCTCTTGTGCCTTAATTTCAGAGTTTTTTGCTTTTTAATTTAATGTAGGTCGTGCATACTTCTTAAATTTCTTCCTCTACATATATTAATAGTTTTGTTTTGAATGGGACTCTTATTATCTTCTGAATGATTGTTGCTGACGCATAGGAAGTTTACCGATTTTTGTATATCTTAAATCTAGCTGCTTTTATTATTCTCATTATTTTTTTAGTTGATCATTAGATTGTCTAGTTTTCAAGCATATAATCTGCAGATATTGAATTTGTCACATCTTTTCTAGACTTTTACCTTTTTTTCTTCTTCTTGCATTTGCTAGAACCTCTGGAACAGTGTTCATAATGGAGATGGTGGCCATTCCTTTTTGTTTGTTTGCCTTTAAGTGTTCTTACTTCTAGTATTTTACTGTATTGCACATGCTGATGGTTCCTTAGGTTCCTTATGATTAAGTGCTCTTACGTTAAAGAAGTTCTTCTAATTTACTACAAGTTTTTTACCTTTTTAAAAATAACATTTAAATCCCCTCCTTTTTTTTCTTGTTTATCATTTTATCTTTTGGGAATCTTAAGATAACCACAAGGTCTCCCCCCACCCACTTTAATCTATTAATGTAATGAATTACATAATAGATGTCCTAATGCTAAACCATTCTTAGTGCTGGAGTAAACCTTTTTTTTTGATTATGTGATGTTACTCTTTTAATATACTGTTGGTTCAGTTTGCTAATGTTTTATTTAGGCTTTTTCATCTGTACCATAAATCACATGTCCATAGCAGTTTTAGAGCTTTTTACAAAGCAGTGAAATATTGTCTGATGTGGTTTGTTTTGTTCTTTTTCTACTTGTATTGAGTTCTATTTTCTAAATCCTTTTTCTCAAGCGTGCTTCCTTGAGTAATTATTTTCAAGACTACATTGAGTATGTAGATGATATACTTTTTTGAGACTTTTTGTGTCTGATAATTTCTTCCTTGTCCTGAGCTGTCCTTGAAATGTCATTTGAAAGGCTAAATCTAAGGTCATAATGTCTCCTTCAGAATTCTGAAAACATGACATTATTGTCTTTTGACATACAGAGATTCAGATGGGAAGTCTAATGCCAAGTCTGACTTACTTTCCATTTAGTCATCTGCTTTTTCCTGGAAGTTTGTACAATTATGTCTTTACTATTGGAATTCAGAAAATTTCACTGTGTCTATGTATAGTAGAGGAAAATTTCTGCCTAGTATTTGATGAACCCCTTTAATCTAAAGGCTCAAGTCTGTCCTGTAGGGAAATTTTCTTGTATTGCTTCTTTTGATATTATCTCTATTAGTGCCTTTCCTTCCTTTTTCCATTGTACAGAAATTGAGCCTGCTGGCTCCACATCATATGCCTTTTCTCTCATATCTGTCTGCATTTTTTGCTTTGCATCCTGGGAGATGTCCTGCTAGTGATACGTTATAGTTCAGTTATGGTATCTGTTTTTCATCAGTGTTTATTTTGCTGTTGATTCCCTCTACTGAAATCTCTTGGAGGGGAGGAGGCTGGAAAATTGAGTTTTCTTTTTGTTTTAAGCTTTTTATTGTTCATACTCTTTTTTTTCATGGTGGTATGTTCGTTTGTATCAATGCTACGTCCTTCTGAGAGTATGTATTAAATTTTTTTTAAAAGAATTTCTCCTTTCCATACATTAACTTAGGGTTGGGATGGGAGAGGGCTGCAAGGTTTGTTTGTTTTTTCCCTCTTTCTACTTTCAAATAGCTGTTTTCCATTGAAAGTAATCAGGTTTTTCTTGACGACCTGGATACTTTTCTTTTTTCTTTTAAAATTTAAGAAACTTAGTAGGATTTCTTGGGTTTCTGTTTGGGGTAGTAGTGATTCCTGAAAAGGTGTAAATTTTGATTTCTATAAAGATTTCTTTTTGCTATTTTCTTGAATAGCAATTCTGCTTTTCCCCTTAGTGAAAGTTATAAAAGCTCAATATGTAATAAGGAACTGTTTTTTGAAGCATTGTTAGAAAGGGGGTGCCCATCTACTCAGGGTTCAGTCTCCCTATACCCCTGCTTACCTCTGAGGGAGCTTTATAGAAATTAATTTGAAAATAATTGCCATAGTGCAGTTCATGCTATTTTGTTGCCGTTTCAGAGCTGTCATTTGCTGTTTGATTAGTATATTGGGGGTCTCCCTGAAAACCAGCACAGTTTCATAGATGCTCTTCAGGATATTGATTTCAGGTGTGAAATTGACTTCTACTCTCTCTCTTCTCCTTCAAAAAATTTTATTGTGAAAGTTTTCATTCTCGTCAGATTAGTACATTTCCTTTTAGCTTACGTGTCACTAATTATTTGAATATCCCTTAAATACTTGGCCACATCTGACACAGTTTTTAAAATTTCTTTTTAGTGTACGCTAGAATGCAGAATTCACTCTTCAGATGTGGGTCGGGGAGCCCTGCTGATGGATCAGTGAGATGCTTTTAAAGGTCCAACCCATGTCCCATTCTGCAGCAGTTCAGTATGGTCCAGCCAGCTAGGGCATATTTAAATTTTTTATTATGTCTGTGTTGTATTATATTAGAAAATACTATATTACGATGAGCAGATAAAATAATCATAATCACCTAAACTTCTACCACCCTGGCAGTAACTACTGCTAACATTTTGGTGTCTATTCTTCCAGACTTTATTTTTTATGTATATTTATACGTGAGTGTAAACAAGTGAGATCATATTATTTTTGTAACTTTCTAAAACAAATATATTATCCATACTTCCACAGTACAAATATAATTATTTTTAATAGCTGTGTATTGTCACGTTATATGTATGTACCACATTTTTTTTTAAACAGTCTCCAATTTTTAACATTTAAGTTTCTATGTGTTTTCTTCATTATTAGAAACAAGATGGTGGTGAACTTTGTGCATTATTATCTTGTATATTTGTCCTGTATTTACCTCAGGACAAATTCTGGAAATGGAGAGGTTGGGTCAGAGTGTGTGCAAATTTTAAAGCTTTCGAGGCATGTTGAATGGCAGATAATTTCTCATAACCTAGGTTATTGACTTCAAGGGTAGTTTCATTTTGGCACACTATGCTTAGATTAGGAATTAACAGTGGAAGGTATGCTTGAATTTGGATTAATTGATTTCGGATTGTATATTGTGTTTCTGAAACCTGACCTTCTGGTATAGCGGTTTGTAGAAACCTCTCCCATATCGAGATGTGTGTTCTTGTAACATATTTTTACTTTTGTAGAAGTGTTTATGGACACTGTAGTGAACCAGGGTATGGCAGGGACTGGGGAGAAAGGGTGTTGGTTATTTTGTTGATTAACTGTTTTATGGGAAGAACTCCGAGGAATTTTTTTATGCCTTGTTTTTAATTGCCCTCATACTGTTCTTAGCATCCCATCTCAGCTGTTTTCTACCTTGCCTGTCTTTCCTTACTCCTTTGTGCTTATCTAGATTCTAGGTATGCAGCTCTGTAGCCATCTTCATTATATAAACTAGCTCTGTAGATGTTTTCAGAGACAATTATTTCTCCAGTTATTCCCGCCAAATGGTTTTCCCCACCTAGTTACAATTACTGTATGTTTGAAATAACAAAAATGCTTGTGAAAATATTGGAACTTTTGTCAGTTAGATGAAAAAATGGTATTTGTCAGAAACGTGGATTTAGCAAGTATTCTGTGTAAAAAAAAGGAGCCCTGGTGGCATAGTGGTTAAGCACTTTGCTGCTAACTGAAAGGTTAGCAGTTGAAACCAACCAACCGCTCTGGAGAAAGATGTGGCATTCAGCTTCTGTAAAGGTTACAGCCTTAGAATCCCTAGGGGGCAGTTCTACTCTGTCCTTCAGGGTTGCTGTGAGTCTGAATTAGTACAAAGGCAGTGGGTTTGGTTTCGGTTTTCTGTGTAAAAAATTTAAGTTCCATTAATAATCTAAAATGTAGATCATTTGTGGAATTAGCAATGCTAATTTAATTTTATTTGAGCAGTTTAGCACCATAAAGAATGTATAAGAAGGAAGGACATGGCTATTCCTTAACAAAACAAAAATAAAATATGAACTAGAGTGTTTACAAAGCTATGTATAGGCAAATATAGGTTAAGATTTGGTTTTAACAATGTGATCTTGTTAGTCAGAATGATTTGGAGGAGAAAGTTGGAAGAATTTACCTGAAATGATTTATTTAAATCATTGTCTATCTCCTCATTTTAGGATTGCGTTTTAAAAGACCATTTCTGAGATTGAGTGTTCTTGTGGAAGGTTAAACCCATTTCAAGAAGACTTGGAGCTGGTCCTTGCCTTGAGGAAGCAGTGGCTTGTGTCCAAGAAGCCACTTCTGATCCAAGGATCTACCCAGCATGCCTAATCAAGGAGAAGACTGCTATTTTTTTTTCTATTCTACATGTACCAAAGTAAGAATTGGTATCTCTAAATTAGCCCTTTCCTGCTTTCCTGGATAAGATAATCTTAACATCCTGAATTGATTTTATGTTTTGTTTTGCTCAACTGCTATCAGTTTTTAGTAAAGAATAGCATACTTGGGAAAATTCATCGTTCATTCATTTTTTTCTCTCTTCCTTTTATGTATAACTGATTTTTCCACGTTCTCTAAAAGTGAAAAGGACCGTGACATATCATCATTGAGTGTTTAATCTGTTCCAAGGGCCTTTGGAATTAGGTACACTTTGGCCTGTGGGTTGCAAGCCTTGATTTTATTTACTTTGTATTAAATGAGTGAGTGGGTTGGATTATACATCTAGAAACTGTCATGGATTGAATTTGACTTAATTCTCCACCCAGATTTCCTACTGTCTAGTAAAGAATACTTTCAGTATAAGACAACAAAACCATCTTTCTGAATATGCTTTTGCAACTTCTTTGCTTTATCTTTGTCAAAACTTCCTGTTTTTGTGCTTGATTCTTTTGCAGCATTGTTTAGATGTGTGTGCTTTTTTATGTTGCTTCTTTGTGACTAATTCTGTAAATTTATATGTTGTTATAAGAACTTTTCCTATCTTAAATATAGCGGTTTGTCCAACAGTAGTATTTTGTATCAGGTGTCACCATTGTACAGAGTATGTAGTGAAGCAGGTAGTTATACTTAAGTCCTAATCTATTAACTTACTTTCTGATTTTCTATCAAAAGCTAGAGTTACAGAAATCAGGGTGTATGAAACAATTTTGCAGATAAACTGTAAGCTATATTTAAAGAGTACCTAATACTCCCACTTGTCTTTTTCCCCCATCTCTCAGCTTGTATGACTCATGTCATCAAATCAGATGAAGGGTGCTGTCAGGAAACAGACCATAGGGAATTATACATTTTTCACTCGTTATGTTCTTAATCATCCCATCTCAGTTGTTTTCTCTATCTTGCCTGTCTTTCCTTCTTTGTGCTTATCTGGATTCCAGGAAATTTTTATTATAGACATTTTGCCAGGGCTGTATTTTGGGGCCACAGTTCTTTCCTTTGTTCTTCCGTTTTGTCACAGGGCGACAGCTGTCCGTTCCGTCACTGTGAAGCTGCACTGGGAAATGAAACCGTCTGCACCTTATGGCAGGAAGGGCGCTGCTTCCGACAGGTGTGCAGGTTTCGGCACATGGAGATCGATGTAAGTTTGGAGTTTGCGTTATCATCATAGAATAGTCTGGGGTGATGGGGGGGCAATAAAAAATACAGGAAAAAAATCACATTTTATACATTTTAATATATGGGTTATATTTTATTTTTTAATGATCCAGTGAAATTTCTGATTGTTATAATGCTCACTTAATGTTTAAATGTTAAGGAGCATGAACTGGTATAATCTTTCTGCAAGGCAGTTTGGTAATATATCTAAAGCCTGAAATACGTGTGTGCGTGTGTGTGCGTGTGTGTGTGTCCAACTGCCGTATAAAACTTCTTTCTGAAGCATCTGAGAGTTCCTGACATTCCCTATTACCAGATACTTTCGTATTTCCTACAAACAAGGACATAACCATAATACAGCCATCAAAATTAGAAAATTAACATGGATACATTACCTCCATTTAATCCTTAGGTCCCATTTACGTTTTGCCAGTTGCCCCAGTTATGTCCTTTATAAACAGCACAGGGAGCGAGTCCAGATTCAGATGTTGCATTTAGTTGTCATGACTCTTCAGTCTCCTTCAGTCTGCAACAGCTGCTCAGTCTTTCCTTGCCCTTTATTAGCCTTGACACTTTCAGTAATTACAGACCGTTTATTTTGTAGAATGTCCCTCAATTTGGGGTTGTCTGCTGTTTCTGCATGGTTAAATTCAGGTGGTATGTTTTTGGCAGGAATATCACAGAAGCGATATTCTTCTCATTGCATGACATCAGGTGCATATGATTTTATTTTTCCTGTTGCTGGTGTTGCTAACTTTGATCACTTGATTAAGGTGATATTGGCCAGACTTCTTCACTGTAAAGTTCTTCTTTTTATAATTAGTATTTTGTGGAGCGGTAGAAACCCTGGTGGCATAGCGGTTAAGAGTTCGGCCGCTAACGAGAAGGTCGGCCTTTCAAATCCACCAGGTCCTCCGTGGAAACCTTACAGGGGCAGTTCTACTCTGTCCTGTAGGGTCGCTATGAGTTGGCATCGACTCAACAGCAGCGGGGTTGTTTTTTGTAGAGAGGACTTGGAGACCCTGGAAATCTTCCATTTCTCATCAGACTTTCCCGTTTTATCCAGTTGTTTATTTGTGTTAGTGTGAACTCATGATTTCTTTCAGGGCTTATAACTGGTTTGTTCTGTTCCAGCCTCCTGCGAATTTACATTTCTAACAAGTTCCCTGGAAGTTATACATAAAAATCACCTAGGGATCTTGTTAAAATGTAGATTCTGACTCAGTATATCTGGGGTAGAAATGAAAATTCTCTGCAGGGAACTTGTTAAAAATGCAAATTCTCAGCAGGGGTTCCAGCAAGAAGAAAGGAACCAGTTCGAAGCACTGGTTTCTTCTTTTTTCATTACATTATAATTCCTGTGTCATTCTTTTTTTATGCTCAAATTGACCCAGATTTGGCCAGTAGGGGTCCTTCAAACTGGTTTTTGTGTACTTTCACATGTTTCCATCATTCTTTAAGCACCTCTTTGCTTTCTGAACTAATAAGATTTTTCAGGCTCATCTTGTACTTTTCCTATTCCAGCCTTGGAATCAACCATTTCTCCAAGGATCCCTGGTTCCTTTCAGTGAAGAATGGTATATAGAAATTAAGATCTGGCTGCTCCTGCCGTGTCACTGCTTCCAGGTCCTCTCAGTGGACAGAGCTAGGGGATATATAAATGTATATACGTACATACGTTTACGTCATTATTACCGTATGTCTTCTTGTTGTTGTTAGTTGCCATCAAGTTGATTCCAACTCATGTGTGCAAACCCCGTGTGTTCAGAGTAGAACTGCTCCATAGGGTTTTCAAGGCTGTGACCTTTTGGAAGCAGATCACCAGGCCTGTCTTCCAAGGCGCCACTGGGTAGGTTCGAACCATGAGCCTTTCAGATAGTAGTGGAATGTTTAACCACTTGTGCCACCGAGGGACTCCTTACTATATGTCTATGTAGTGAAAATTGTGAGTTCACGTAGATGCCCCCAATTCCAGTGTAAGCCACAAGGTTCATATTAGACTTCTCCTTTTCCATACTTGTAATTCTCTTCTCCAAAAGTGAGAAACTTAGTTCGCATTGCCCTTAATATTTTCACTTATTTGATCAGTTACTTATTATGTAAACCAGTATTGTATCACAGCCTCTTCCTTCCTCTTGGGCTCTGACATCACACATGAAGCTTCCCCTACACAGGAATACCCTTCTCACCTTGTGTCACCTCCAGCTCCCTATGCCAGACCTTATGGGGACCACTTCCTCACCCTTCTTGGACGCCTCCCCCACCCCAGTCCCACTTTGGATGCCCCTCATGGATTTCTTTTTCATACCCTTGGGCTTGATACTGCCATGTGGGATGCTCTCCTCACCCTGCTCACACTCTGACTCTGTGCCAGGTCTCCACTCGGGGCCACCCTGCCTTCCTCACTTTGCTTGGTCTTTGATGCCCCATTCCAGGCTGCACCTCTGTGGAGATACCTTCCTTACCCTATATTGAGCTGCCCTTATGCACAGAAGTCTTGCTTACCCTGCTCAGGCATAACACTGTGTCGGCCACCTTCCTATGCAGATGCCCTCCTAACCCCTCCTGGGTTCTGACACCCAGTGCCAGGCTTCCACTTTGTCACATGGGCATCTTCCTCATCCTGTCAGGCGCTAGTACCCTGATTTGGGCCTTCTTCCCCGCCGTGTGAGTGCCTAATGACTTTGAACTGAATTGTTTGGGAGGGGATGGGGAAAAAGGAAGAGACTACGTATGCATTTTGTATGCCAGGGGTCACATAGTCTGGTTTCACATTTCTCTTCTTCCAAATAGTAAGAAATTCATTAAATAAACTCAGAGCAAGGAATACTTTGCACTTAATGAAAATATCATGTTGTAACATTGAGGGCGAAGTGTAATTGACACAGCTCCTATGGAAGGTGTGCCTGGGTCTCCAAGTATGCCCCTACATTTAGGAATTTGCTGGAAATCATGGGACACAGCATATAGTTTTATTCATGGTTAAGATTTATTACAGCTAGGGTGCACAGCTGGATCATAAGAGAAGAAGACACAGGAAGAGTCTGGAGGAACGTGCGTCCAGGCATCCTCGTGCTCTCTCCCTCCCGTGAGAGGTCACATGGAACACACTCTTCTCCCAGCAACAAAAATGCAGCAACATACGTGTCATGTTTCTGTCCAGGGAAGCCCGTTAGAGACTCAGAGCCCAAGGTACATAGGCACCCTCTGTCTAGCACCTTCCAAAATTCCAAACTCCCAGAAAGAAGGCAGGTGTTCAACATAAACCATATTGTTTGCACAAACAGTCTAGGCATAGCGAACTACTCTTATCAGTTAACTGTTGACTGGGAACATTCTAAGAGCCAAGTTCCCAGATGCCAGCCAAGGGCCTATCTTGCAGACAGGTCTTTCTAAGGATAGCAGTCTCAGGCCTGCTATTTTAATTTTTTTCTGCACAGAGGCTAATTTGGCTGTATTTCTCAGAACTCTCCAAAAATGCTTATACCTTTGTCCCATATGTTCTCATCTATGTGCAAAATGAGCTGTATACAGAATTACTCATTGTAGCATAATTTGTAATGGTAGAATGCTGGAAATAACCTAACTATCCTTCAGTTAAAATAAATTGCTATATTCGTATGTTCATATAATGGTGTTCTGGGCAGCTGCTAACAAAAATTTTTTAAAGGGAAACTCATTTATTGATATGGAAAGATCAAAACATTTTGAGTGAAAGAGGCAGAGCAAAGTGTTTAATATGCTACCATTTATGGAAAAAAAAGAGGGAAAAGAATTTGTATCTGTTTTCACTTACCATATGCATCTAAGAAAAATCTGAAAGTATAAAGGAGAAACAACAGTGGCTTTGGGGGAGGAGGGACAAGGATAGGAAGGAGTCTTTTTACTGGGTACCTTTTTTGTATATGTCTTTGAAACGTGCTGTATTAGCTATGAAAAGTTCAGAGAAATAATTAAGTAGGAGGAGGATGTTACTATGGAGGATATGTTGCTAAATCAAAAATCTACAGAATTATGTGGAATTCCTTTCTTTTAAGTGTACATATGTGTATTTATGATTAAAAAATAAAAGAGTCCTATACCAAAATAAGTGGTTCTTTTTGGGTAATAGTATAACAAGCATTTATTTCAGTTTTCTAAGTCGTCTTCATGTTTGTGTTACTTTTCAATTAAAAGCACAATCCAGTGAATATGTTAAACAGATCAAATAAATGTCAGGTGACCCCAATATTAGAGGATACTATTATAGAAGTCATCTTATAATTTAAAAATTGCTTCTAGGAAAGAAATAACTTAAGCAAAAACTGATCCAGGAGCAAGGAAGATTGGCATTAGGTCCTGCCTTGAGGAAAGAGGAGTTGAATAATTGTTATTATTCCTATCTAAAAGAACAGTGGCAGCTATTACACCTATTTTTTGAGTGTGACAGGAGACTAATTCTATCTTTAAAAGGTAAAGATATTTGCTGTACTTTTTAATAATAATTAATCATGCATGTGGCAGAAATGGGAACATACGTTTTTAAAATTGTTTTTTCCAAATTGCCTTTCAGAAATGTTGAACTAATTTACATTTTCATTAGCACTGTGAAGGGCTGCCTGCTTTTGCACACCCCCACCAACATCATGTATTATGAAATTTATCAATCTCAAATGTACTAGGTTTTGATCTCCGCCCTTTTTGATGCTTTTAACAGTCTTTTTGTTTCTCTGTTTCTCCACATTTCAAATTTCTGAATTAATATTGTTCTTTCCTGGAATTTTAAACCTTAGGCTGCTTATTGTGATGACAGAACCAAATATAAGGCAGGCTGTTAATCAGAGGGTATTTACTTTTCCGAAGTGCTTGGTGGGTCTTTTTTCTTTATTGAGTTATTTAAGTATATATAGAGAAAATTACACAAATCACAATAATACAGCTCAAAGAAGTTTCACAGAGTGAGTATCTTATTTGGCCAGCACCCAGATCAAGAAATAGAACTTTATCAGCACCCTATTTGCTCCCTTCATACCTTCATTGTCACTAATGACACCCCCAGAGGTAATTCCTACCCTGACTGCTGTACCATAGAGAAGTGTTGCCTGTTTTGGTCTTTATATAAATGGAACCTTTTGTGGCTGGCTTCTTTCAGTCTGCATCTGTGGCACTGAGTGTAGCAGTGGTTCCTTCCTTTTCATTACTGGGTAGCATTATTGTATGAATATACTACAATGTATTTATCCATTCTAGTGTTGATGTACATGTGGGTTGTTTGTGTTTTGGAGCTATTCCAAATAGCATTGCTTTGAACATCCTTTGTTTTGAACGTTCTTTTATGGGTCATTTGGAGAACTAATGTATGTATGATCCAGCAGCTTATTCCTAGGTGTGCAAGTATTCTTTCTGTTCTCGTTCTCCTTCATAAGATGGAGGTGGCCTTGGTAAGGATAAATGCCATCCCTTAGTATATTAAACATATGCCTTACTTTGAAGAGCACTGATGGGGAAAATTTACTTAAAGCCTTGAACTCCCAGCTTCAAATAATGCCTGCAATTTATTGAGTCCTTTCTATATGCTGAGTGCTTCGTGTGCATTATTTAATTTAATCATCATAAGAAACCAGTTAGATAGCTATTTTTCCCATTTTATAGCTGAGATACGTGAGGCTTTGAGGCATTAAGTTATTTGTCCGAGGTCAGATGGCCAATAAATAGCATAATAAAGAGTTTCAAACCTTGTTCCTTTCTTTTTTTGCATAATTTTAACTGCTGTATCATCCTGCTTCTCTGAGTGTAGACATTTAGGTGTTCTCGGATGCGGGCAAGGAGAAAAGAATAGTAGAGAATCTACCACCCCTACTCCCTTCATCTCTTCACAACGCTTAAAAGTATATCGCATTGAGCAACTGCTTCCTGCTCAAAATCATCTCACGTGCCTCACGTTTCTGAACCAGTTAGGAACTTTATCCAAAAGACAAGTTTTCCAAATGAATACTTGTCTTACTTTGTTTTTTATTTGAAAAAATGTTCTTCTTTCCTACAGAAAAAACGCAGTGAGATTCCTTGTTACTGGGAAAATCAGCCAATGGGATGTCAAAAACTTAACTGTGCTTTCCATCACAACAGAGGACGCTATGTTGATGGCCTTTTCCTACCTCCGAGCAAAAGTGAGATCTATTTGCAATTTTAAAAGAATAGTTACTGTTTAACAAACACCTGTTATGCATACTGTACAAAGTATTTTATTGCCTTCTTCGTATTTTATAGTCTATTATTTCCACTTTCCAGATGAGGGAACTGAATTTTATTAAGATTAAATGAGTTGTATGTGGTCGTAAAACCAGTAAGTGGCAGAGCCACGATTCAGACTTTATGTTGCCAAAAGCCATACTGCCTCACAGGTGGTTCTGGGTGTGACAGCTTAGATTGTTATAGTTTAATTCGTTTTCCATTTTCTTATGAGACCTACAGAGGTTTTTAAGAAAACTTGATTCGCCAGGCCAAAGGTTGACAAATCTGATCCTCCTCCTGTTTTGTAAAATAAAGTTTTGTTGGAATGTAGCCACAATCATTTACATTTTTTCTGTGGCTGATGTTGTGCTACAACCGCTGAGTTGAGTAGTTGAGACAGAGACCATGTGTGGCCTGCAAAGCCTAAAATATTTACTATCTAGCTATTTACAGAAAAAGTTTGCCAACCCTGCTCTAGGCTATAATCTAAAATAAGATTTAACGCTACAAAAAGCTAATATTTTTTGGAAATCTAAATTGCAAATAAATGTTAATGAGGTAAAGAGAGGGGATGGCCCACATTAAGCTATACAAGCTTTACATAGTTGTTTCCAAAGCCCGTTTTTAAAGTAGTTTCTTAATGGAATTATCAGCCATTTAAAGTCAAATCTGGTGTGATTAAATTTGATGGTTACACCTTTTCACCTCTATTTAAGGGAAAAAAGTAGGCTCTTTATGGTTTGGTTCAAGTAAATGTTATCTGCTGTCTTAAAGCTACTACTTTGCTGAGCAAAAATCCTGTGATTTCAATATTTAAACAAAATGTTTAGAATTTACAGTTACTGTGCACCTAGCAAGGAGCCCTGGTGGTACAGTGGTTAAGCACTCGCCTGCTAACCAGAAGGTCTGCAGTTTGAACCCACCAGCTGCTCCTCGGGAGAAAGACCTGGCAGTCTGCTCCTCTAAAGATTGTAGACTTGGAAACCCTATGGGGCCGTTCTACCCTGTCCTATAGTGTTGCTATGAGTCAGAATCGACTCAAGGGCAGTGGGTTGGTTTTTGTTTTTTTTTTTTTTTTTTGTGGTGCATCTAGCCTCTTATTCATTTTATCAGCAGTATTTTGTTGGGTCCCCATTTTGAGTGTATTTATATACAGTGAAAAATTACTAGCTAAAGTCTTATTTTCCTCCTTGGGAGTTTAGAATCTAATTGGGAAAATTAGGTAAAAAGACCTAAATGTTCATAAGGAAGATACACCAAACTTACCATAGGTGGACAAGGATCTTCAATGTTTTGGGATTGTATCTTCTGATTTTTTTTTTTTTTTTTTAAATTTACTACTGATTTTGTATGTTTTAGCTGTGTTACCCACTGTGCCTGAGTCACAAGAAGAGGAAGTGAAGGCTAGCCAGCTCACAGTTCAACAGAACAAATTGTCTGTCCAGTCTAATCCCTCCCCCCAGCTGCGGAGTGTTATGAAAGTAGAAAGTTCAGAAAATGTTCCTAGCCCCACACATCCACCAGTTGTAATCAATGCTGCAGATGATGATGAAGATGATGATGGTAAGTCTTTGCTCTTTTTTTAAGGCGAATAAATAGCCAGTGTCACTTAGTGAATTGGAACGAATTAGGATTAAAGCTCTAGGCCTGTTTAAATTGTGAATTTGTCTTTAATGTTGATATTTAGATCAGTTTTCTGAGGAAGGTGATGAAACCAAAACACCTACCCTGCAAGCACCTCCTGAAGTTCATAACGGATTACGAGTGGCTTCTGCCCGGAAACCTGGGGTCACTGTAAAGCAAGGTAAGATAAGGTCGTTGGTGCTTGGCCCGCTCATCAATCTGACAGCGCTCCTAATCGTGTCTGAACTATTGTAATCACCTTTGGGATTTAGTTCATGATCACCATCACCTCCCTCTTCCCTCTCCTATCACATCCCTCCCCCATATAGTTTTTCATCCATTTAGAGAACATTTGAATGCCTGCTATGTATAGATAAATGCATACGTGAAAAGGCGCTAGTTCCTCATGTGATTCTTATATGGGTTTCTCAGGTGAATGTTTGAATTTTGGAATAAAAACTCTTGAAGAAATCAAATCAAAGAAAATGAAGGAAAAATCCAAGAAGCAAGGTGGTAAGTCATTGTGCGTTTTGGCAGAAATGGTTGGTTGTTGCTAGAGAAGAAGAATAAGAACACTCTGGAAGCAGCAGCCAAAATAATCAAATAGATGTTACTTCCGTAGCTTGTTTTCAAGTAAAACACAGACTTCCTTCAAATCACGGTTGCTTTTTGAATTCTTTATAGCTACATTTCAGTCCCTAACTACTCAGAGCTAGGCATATATAATAACGTGTTTATCTTGAGAAATACAACGCTGAAAAATAGCATTGTTGTGGGGTGCCGTTGAGTCAATTTTGACTTACAGCGACCCCATGTGACAGTAGAACTGACCCGTGGGGTTTTCTTGGCTGTCATCTTCACGGGAGCAGATCACCAGGTCTTTCTCCTACAGAGCCACTTGGTGGGTTCAAACCACCAACTGTTTGGTTAGCAGCCAGATGCTTAACCATTGTACCACAAGGGCTTCTTAAAGAATAGCATACAAGAACTATATTAAGAGAGGGAAGACTTCATTTTGCAGTAGATGAGTTCTTTCTCAAGGGCTGCTGGAATTTTCTTCTGGAGATTGCCTTGGCTTGGTTGATCTGTATTTCCAACACTAAAAATTATAGTTACGGTGTGAAATGTAATATTTAGAAAGAAGCAAAAGGTGCTAAGGTTCCTCTTACTAAGCTTATTCTATAGGAAACTTGGAGTTTGTGTTCTGCAGATGATTAAATTTAGAAGGAAAGGTTCAGTTGACACACCTGATGGCTGATGTACCTTTGAGGTTAACTTTACAGTGTTAGCCTTGTTGGTAAGTAAAAGTGGGTTGAATGCTTAAGTCACTCAGAGCCGTTTGTATATTTTATTTTCACATTGTGCCCCAGGCAGATAAGAAATAGGGATCATCTCCCCTCCCGCAGACAGGCTCAGAAAGACTGATTGGCTTGTGGTCATCGGTCTGTATTTGACTTGACTGGTCACAAAAACAGAATTTCTTGACTTGTGATAGCTTTGGTATTTTCTATAAATCATTTGCTTTTCTTTGGCTTGCTTTATTCAGAAGGTTCTTCTGGAGTTTCCAGCCTTTTACTCCAACCCCAGCCTGTTCCAGGTCCTGAAAAAGAAAATGTCCGGACTGTGGTGAGGACAGTAACTCTGTCTAGTAAACAAGGTGAGGTATGGGTAGGTTTTTGAGTTGTCAAACTACAACCTTTACATAAGTGGGAGAGTGCAATCCTTGGGGCTTTCTACTTTGATGAATTTGCGGGCAGACTTTAGTATGTTGATTTGATGCAAGTATGAAGAGACAAGTCAGCACATTTGATTCTTTACGATTTAAGAGGTTGAAATTCTTATTCAAGCACTCCTTGCATTTATGTGTATTTAATTTTTACATTTACTGTTTATCTGTATCCATGCAACAAACTTATTGACTCCTCATTGTGAGTAAAGAACTCTAATAAACCTTTTAAGTTATATAAAAATGTAAAAGCCTTTCCCTTCGATAGTTTTAAACCTAGTAAGGAATGTGAACAAGTATTTGCAGTATATAGATACATTTAAATATTTGTGCCATTCAGACAACAGTGAATCAGAGGAAGGACCTTACTTATGCTGAGACGATCAAGGGAAGTGGTCTAGTAGTGTTAGCACTGGAGTGGAGTGGGATTTCGTTGAACATATCAGAGCACACCAGCCAAAGTAGAACTTGTGTTTTATGACTAATTGATTTGAACACAAACTGTCGTCTTATACCTGTCTCCTGTTACTCAGAAGGACTGTGCTGCTGCTTCCTTCTAAGCTGTGCATTTGGCTGTTTAAATTATTATTAGGTTAAATTTTTTTTTAATTTGTTCTGATTTTCAGGAGGCTTTCTAGGTAGGTTCATTAATATCAGAACATATTGTGCACCCATTAGTTGTTACTGAAAGCAGAAAATTGGCTACTGGTAGAGAAACTCTGTTCTTGCTCTTTCAGGAGACGAACCGTTGGTTAAATTGAGTCTCACCGAGAGACTGGGGAAACGAAAAGTTTCAGTAGGTACGATGAGTTTTGTGTATATCTTTTATTTTCTGCTTGTTTATGCATGAACATGATACTTTCTGTAAACTGTCTTTACACAAATCCACTGTCAGTACTGGTCTGTCAGTCCTGCTGTCTTCTTGGCTGAAAGGACTTCTTTTAAAATTTCTTGATGTTTTAATGTGCAGGTTACCCCTTTTGTTGAAGTTATGGAAATTTAAATCGTTACAATTTATTTAGATTATGATCAACTTTTCAGAGGCACTGTGTTTTAAAAGCAGTAAACAGTACCTCTATTTCTTTGGACAAATCGAAATTTGTATTTTTTAGAGGGAAAAGGCATCCATTTAAAACCTAATTTGTGTCCCTGAATTTATTGGTACTATTTTATATTAGGGAGGTACTTTACCATGTTATTACTGAATTTTGTATACCTACCCTAGTGTTTCTGTCTCAACAGAATTATTTTGAAAATCTTCTAACTTAGGGACGTTCCTTCATATTTTTTTTAAAATGTGCGTGCAGATATGAAACCTTATCTCCATTTCGTGTTGTCTTTGACATCATTTTCACTGCCTGATCTTTGAAATTTTTCTGAACTTGCATTTCAGGTTTTCAGACAGTAAGAAAATACGAATGTATCAGTTACACAGTTATGAAGTTATTGCCTTTAGTAGTAAAAACTACTTATAAAAAAAACTCTCTACAGTCACTCCGTGCCTGTCAGTGAAATAAGGTCCCTGGATGGCACAAACAGTTTGCACTTGACTACTAACCTAAGGGTTGACTATTTGAACACACCGCTGGCACCACGGAAGAAAGACCTGGTGATCTGCTTCCCTAAAGATTACAGCCTAGAAAACCCTATAGGACAGTTCTGCTTAGTAACACACGGGTTCCCTGTGAGTCAGAACCGACTGGACAGCAACAGATTTGGTTTTTTGTTTTCTTCTTAGTAAATTAAATGAACATTTACTGTGAATCTGCTGTTTGTCAAAGTGCTTTTTGTTTAATCCTTAACCATGAGAAAACTGAGGCACAGTGCTTGGCTCTTAATAAATCGTCAGTGAATATTTTCTGCTCTGAGCTCAGACTCAAGAAAGGTTTAAGTGATTACCCAGGGTTGTAGTCACAGGAACATGTTATAGACTACATAGTCATTTCCAAAGAGAGCTTAGGAGAGGCAGTCTATAGAAACCCCTTCTATCTATATTTCAGGAAACAGCCTTACTTAATCTTTTACCAGTTGTAGATTTTAAGAGCAGTATTTAATGATCTAAGCATGTGTTTATAGCACAAGCCAAGCCAGCACTCCTGAAAATGGACTTTCGGCTTTGATAAAACTAATCGAGAGGTTTTAATTAAAACTTAAAGAAATGAGCTATCTTAATGTCAGCATACATGTAAACTTTATGATTCTTTTTTGTTTGTTTCATATTTAAGTTATAAATGAGGAGAGAGGGACAATTACAAGTGTGTAGGGTCTTTCAAGGTTTTAATCTGACCCTACAAAAGAAATAGATCTTCAGTCAAGCAATCTGAAAAACAAATTTTTAAAAATGTATGACATTTAAACAGTTTGTATTGAACAATGTAATATCATAAAGCAGAAATGAGGAAACTTGGATTTATATCTTGGCTCTATCAGTGCTTGGTGTTCTGAGTAAGATACAGACTTTCAGAACTTTAGATTTCTTATCTGGAATTGAAGAGAGGCCGTTTGGCCTTCAGAGTCTTCATATTATCGGAAGAATTAAAAGTTTATGACTCTTGCTATCTTCTTTAATCATCCCAGATGCATTTGATATGAATTTTCTTAGAGTTTAGCAATTGGCCAGTTTAGATATTTTTGTACATGAAGATTTTTCACATTTTCCTGATTTTGAATTTCAACTTTAACCAGAGCTTAGGATCCTCCATTCCTAGTTTAGTCTATCATTTGGGAAGTGGTGATTTGTGCGTTCTAATCCTTTGTGTCCCTTTCCTTACTTCTTCCTTCTGGGATGTTTTTATTTCTTCTCTGACATTGATTCTAAGGAATCTGGTTAACAAACACACCATGTAAATGCAGAAAATTTATAGAATTATTCTATGTTGTCTGGTTTTGCTTGTATTCTTTGACCTTGCTGAAGATTGATTTGAACTCTTAAAACTAAGGTCTTCCTGTTTGTAGGTGGTGACAGTGATCCTCCATTAAAGCGTAGCCTTGCCCAGAGGCTAGGAAAGAAGGTTGAAGCTCCAGAGACTAACATTGACAAAACATCAAAGAAAGGTACCTTTGTTCTAATGTACTTTGTGTGTACACATCAGGACACTTGTTTCTTATAATATTAACAGCTATAGTTTGCCATTCTTCTGCTTAGATAAGTTAAGAGTATTATCTTCTGGTATCTGTTTTATTATTCATTCAACAAACATTTGAGCACTTACTTTGTTAGATTCTAGGTATAAACCATTGAGCAGAATAAACACCATCACACTCCTCAGGAGCTTATTGTATAACGGGAGATAGAAATACTTACAAACATATACATACACAGACACACACACAGACACACACACACACACACACACGTGTATATATATGTTATTTAGGTGAAAGTTCACAAAGCAAATTAGTTTCTCATTAAGCAGTAAATACACAAATTATTTTCGTGACATTAGTTGCTATAACCTTGCAACACGTCAACACTCTCCTCTTCTCCACCCCAGGTTCCCTGTGTCCATTTGTCCAGTTTTCCTGTCCTTTCCTGCCTTCTTATCTTTGCTTTTGGACTGGTGTACCCATTAGTCTCGTAGGTATGATTGAACTAGGAAGCACGACCCTCACGTGTTATTGTTGGCCCTCTAGACCTGTCTAATCTTTGCCTGAAGGGTGAACCTCAGGAGTGACTTTAGTACTGAGTTAAAAGGGTATCCAAGGGCCATACTCTTGGGGTTTCTTCAGTCTTTGTCAGACTAGAAAGCCTGGTCTTTTGTGTGTGTGTGTGTGAATTTGAATTTTGTTCTACATTTTTTTCTCCCACTCTGTCCAGGACCCTCTGTTGTGATCCCTGCCAGAGCAGTCAGTGGTGGCAGTTGGGCACCATCTAGTTCTGGGCTCAGTCTGGGGGAGGTTGTGGTAGTTGTGGTTCATTAGTCCTTTGGACTAATGTTTCTTCTGTATCTTTGGTCTTTTTCATTCTCCTTTGCTCTAGCCAGGAGGAGACCAGTAAATGTATCTTAGACGGCCACTCACTGGCTTTTAAGACCCCAGTCACTATTCACCACAGTCGGACGTAGAACATTTTCTTTATTAGACTATGTTCTGCCAACTGAGCTATATGTTCCCCGAAACCATGGTCCTGAGTCCTCAGCCCAGTAGCTCAGTCTCTCAGGGCGTTTGGATGTGTCTGTGAACTTCTATGTGAAATACTTAGAAATATTGTGATAAATTCTGTGATGAAAGAAGTATTTGGTGCTATGGGAGCACATAGGAAGGGCATCTAGTCTTGCCATCTACCAGGGAAAGATTCCCAGAGGAGGTGATGTTGAAGCTTAGACCTGAAATATGAGTTAAGAGTTAGTCAGGTGAAGTTGAAGGGCCAGGGGCTGTGTTCCAGGTGGAAACAGTACCGTGTAAAGGCTCAGATATAAGAAAGTGTGATGTGCTCAAGGAATTCAGTATGGCTTAAACATAGAATTGGGGTAAAGAGATGGTGACTGGAGAGGGAAGGAGGGGTTGGATCATGTAGAGCCTTTTAAGCCATGTTAAGAGAGTTTGGGCTTATCCTAACATACTAGCAAACTAGTGAAAGGTTATAAACAGGGATCAAAGGCTCAGGTTCGCATTTTGGAACCATAACCCTATTCTTCCTGGAATATTAGGAAAGATTAGAAGGGGACAAGAACGATGGCCAGGATATGAGTTAAGAGCCTGTTAAAGTAATCCAGACAAGAATTAGTGGCATAGATTTAGTGTTCTAAAAGTAGGTATGGAGCCCCAGTGGTGCAGTGGTTAAGAGTTTACCTGCTAACCAAAAGGTCAGCCGTTCAAATCCACCAGCCACTTCTTGGAAACCCTGTGGGGGTGGTTCTGCTCTGTCCTGTAGGGTCACTATTATTCGGAATCAACTCCATGGCAATGGGTTTGGTTTTTTTTTTTTGTTTGTTTTTTTGTTTTAGAAGTAGGTATGGAGAGATGTGGACTAAATCAGGAGATATATGGGAGTTAGAATGATTTGCAGTTGAAGAAGAGAAAGGAGTAAAGGGTTGGACTTTTTTTCTCTTTGTATGACTTGCAGTTAAACATTGGAGCTAATTACTCTTAAAAAAATAGGGTCCCGTCCCCCCCCCACCCCTTACTGTGTTTAGCTTTAGTTTTTCTTGAAGATAAGTGATTAGGTATTGTCTTCCACTTTTTGTCTAGCCCAAGAGGATATTCTTGTTTGGGGCTTTCTGGTGTTCTCTGAGCAAGCAGAAGTTACTTTTTTCTTTGCAGCCGAATTCCCTTCCTCCCTGCCTCCTTTCTTCTTTGCCTGCCAGTCACATTGGAGATTCTCATAACTAATTTAAAAGCATATTTGAAGTAGATTTATGAGTAAAAAACCTTTTGATGCCAATAAGATTTTAGGAAGTTGTACAGTAAACAGAATTATTTCCCGGAATCCAGTAGTTTTTCTTTTCAGATCTAAAGAAAGATGATTTCTTTTTTTAGTTTTCCAAGATGCTGTAGGGAATCCATGATGCATGTAGATCTGTTCTGTGGAGAAGAAGAGTTGAAGACCATGAGAGTTTTTTTTTTTTAAAAACCATTTGCATTAGAAGAAAAGTATAAGCCTAATTTGTGAACTTTGAAATAAAAAGTCTCTGTTTAACTTTTGTTTGGTTGGTTTTTTAATTGTTTCTTTTTACAGTTCAAGTTTCCAAATCTCTGAAGGAGCGATTGGGCATGTCCACTGATCCAAACAGTGAGGCAGCAACAGGTGAGTGAATCCTAAGACCAGGTCCTGATGTTTTTTTCTTGCCATAAGAATCGTTGGTTTCCCCCAATTTACCTATTGTAGTTAGATTAAAAACCCGTTGCTGTTGAGTCGATTCTGACTCACAGTGACCCTATAGGACAGCGAAGAACTGCCCCATAGGGTTTCCAAGGAGCGGCTGGTGGATTCAAACTGCTCACCTTTTGGTTAGCACCCGAGTTCTTAACCACTGCGCCAGGAGGGCCCCGTAGTTAGAGCTTGTGTTTTGTTTTTTGTGGTTTTGTTTGTTTTTTAAATAATTTACTTAGTGTCTTAATTTCCTTTTTGTACTTAAAGATAGCAAAATGGTTGTTATTACAGTATTAATAGTGGGAAATTAGAAACAACTTAACTATCCAACAAAAGGGAATTAGATTAAATTATGGTAATTGTGTGTGAAAATAATCACTGTCATTAAAAATCTTGTTCTGAACAATAATGACATGGGAAAATGCATTATGTGAAATGAAGAAAGATCACAAAAGAACACATACCACTTTTGACCTAGAGCAACAGAAGAATCTTTAAAAAGAAAAAAAGGAAGTGTATTTTCTTATTATGGAAACTTATTCTTAAGAAAAATACCCACGTGTGTGGGATGATTCCAGTTTTGTAAACATATAAATATATGTTTAGGAAAAACTCTGCCAAAGAAACCCACCAAAATATTAACATTGGTTTTATCTCAATATTGAGGTTTTAGGTAATTTTAGTTTTCTTCTTTATATTCTTTCTGTACTCTAATTTTTAAATTTTCTAAATTGTGAGATATAACTGCTTAAGTATATGTATCTATTCATACATACATACACACGTATACATCCACATACATATATAGGTACAATTTGAAGAATAATAAAGTGAACATCCATGTACTCAGCTATCTGGCTTTTGTCTGCATTGCTGGATTCAGTTTGATGCATTTCGTCTCAGATTTTTAATTTTTACATCTCTGTTTGTAAATGATGTTAGCCTGTACTTTTTCTTTCTCATCCTATCCTTAATCTGATTTTGGTATTAAGATTATACTAGCATCATAAAAAGAGAGTCTCATGTCAGACGTTCTTGTTCTTTTGTAGGCATCTGATTTTATCCTCCAGAAACTTTTTAGGATTTTCTCTTTATCTCTCCCTAGTATGCTGTACCTTCACTCTGGTAGATCTCAATGTAGATGTTTTTTATTCATTCTACTCAGTATTCAGTTGGCACTTTGAATCTAAGGACTTATCTCCTCTAGTTCTAGAAAGCATTCCTCTAACTTCTTTGAACATATCCTCCCCTCCTTTCTTTTTGTTTTCTCTTTATGGAATTCTTACTTACACACATCTTGCAACTTTTGGACATATGCTCTTCTTGTTTCTTGGCTTTGCCTTTGTACTTCCCATTTCTTTTGTTTTTTTGCCTCACCTTCTATAAGGTTTTCTCAGCTTTATTTTCTAGATCCGGGTCAGCAAACTTTTTCTGTAAAGGGCCAGATAGTTAAATATTTTAGGCTTTATGGTCCACAGTCTCTGTCGCAACTAATCAACTTGCCATTATAGTGAGAAAGCAGTGCACAAAATGCGTACATGAATATGTTCCAATAAAGCTTTATTTGCAAAACTAGATGGTAGCCAGATTTGGCCCATGGTTCTGTGGTTTGCTGATCCTGTCCTAGATGGCTGATTTTGAGCCAGTTTTGCTGGTTTTATTATTTAGTCCTTCTATTGGACATTTAAGGAGCCCTGGTTGCACAGTGGTTAAAGAGACCAGCTGCTAACCGAAAGGTCAGCAGTTCAAAACCACCAGCAGCTCCACGGGAGAAAGATGTGGCAGTCCATTTCCGTAGAGATTTACAGCCTTGGAAATCCTGTGGGGTCACTATGAGTCGTAATCAGCTTGATGGCAGTGGGTTTTTATTGGACATTCACTTTGACACTTGTGTTTTTATTTTCCAAAACTTTTTTTTTCCTGATTTTGCCTTTTTCATAGTCTGATTTGGCTGCTCTGGGGTTTCTAATTTTAAATTTTGAAAAATTTTTTGGTTTTTTTTGTGTGTGTGTGTGTGTGTGTGTGTGTGTGTGTTATGGCTTCTTAATCACTTCACTTTGTTTATTTTGGCTCATTTTTAATGTTGTTTTTCAGTAGTTGTAAGTCTATGGCTTAGGTTTCTTCTCTGGTTGTAAAAGTCTTTTCCCCACATAGCTCTTTATCCTTATTGGAATATCTGACTGATAACTACCTATGTGGAGAGGTGTACTTAAAGGCAGCTTGTGTGAGTTGCAAGTTGGAAGTTACAGTTGCCACAGTAAGAAAGGCTTTCTTTGCTTTCAGAGTAGAACTTTTTTCTACCTTTGCTTTTTCCTTTCCCCCTCCCCTCCTTTTCCTGCTTGGCATTTGTGAAAGCCTGGAATTTTCAGCTTCTCTCCAGCCCCAACACCCTTATGATACACTCCCTTCCCAGGCAAGCTGTTCTCTTTTTAAGGACCAGTTCTCAGGAGAAGGTCATGACTGGCCCAACTGATGGATACACAGCCATTTAATTTCCATCCCTGTGGTTATCCCAGAGCCCAGTGTTACTTTTCAGACTAGGTGACCCAAGTTTGTGTTTTTCTTTGTGAAATTTCCTCTGTTGAAAAGATTAGCTCTCAACTCTACAGTCCTACTTTTTTTTTTTTTTGTAAATCCACACATCTGTTACCTACTTTCAGGAATTCCTCAAGATTTATGCTCTTCCAGTGCAACCTTGCTTTCCACTGCTGTTGTGCCTGTGTTTCATTTTTAATATATTCTCTATCATTTTGATGGAATTTTGGTAGGGTGGGGAAACCATTCATATTAATTTTCCTAGAGTGGTGACTCTTGAGGTCAGTCTACCATCTTGAAATGGAAGAATTTATAATTTTTACAACAAACCTAAAGAAATAATTCAGTGTTTGAGTGCTTCCTATGTAACAGGAGCTATGCTAAAATATTTCAGATAATGAAATACAGTCATTGCTCTCATGAAGTGTCTGGTATGGTTGGAGATAGGCAATTACAGTACTGTGTGATCAGTGCTATGACTGGAGAACAAACTAGATTTGAGGATGTCAGGTTCTAAGGTAAATCCTGAACTCAGTTAAAACCAAGCAGCAAGGGCCTTGAGCATTATGCTCTTTTCAGAACTATCTATATGGGATCAAATTGACAACAGCAAGTCAAAAGATTAGATAGGAACCTTAGCGGGCAGAGAGTTTATGCTAATGAGAGAGGAACAACTCAGAAAAGGAGGGTGAGAATGGTTACACAACTCCAAGAATGTAATTGATATCACTAAATTGTACATGTGGAAACTGTTGAATTGGTATATGTTTTGCTGTGTATATTCTTAACAACAACAACAAAATAAAATTTAGGGGGAAGAAAAGGCACCAAGGGAAGTGAGACTGGTAGGAAATACTTCATGTAGGGAGGACAGCATATTCAAAGGTTCAGGAGACAGAAAAATGTGTTTAAGGTTGTGAAAGGGTTTTGTTTGTTTTGTTGAATAATTTCTAAGAGTCAAAACAAAGTTGAAACAGTCCTGGAGATTTATTGGTTGATCATACAATTCACAAATTGGACAACACACAGTATGAGACGGCGTGTTGCACCTGAGATGAGGCAGTATTGAGTTTTTACAGTCCAAGGAACAGAGAAAGTCAGGGAAGTCCAAACGGTTTCAGTGACTCTTTCGGATATTCATCAAAATGTCTCTTGAAATCCTTTCTTCCTCAGAATTGTGTTTGGCTAAGAAGACAAACGAGGCAGGTCTTGAGGGGTCAGTGCCTGCCTGCGCCAGCTTGTCTGGAATGTAGGGTTGTCCTAAGAGTGTTAAAAAACCAAACCCATTGCCTTTGAGTCGATTCTGACTCATAACGACCCTGTAGGACAGAGTAGAACTGCTCCATAGAGTTTCCAAGGAGCAATGGATTCAAGCTAGTTATTATCTCTAAATTTTAAGTTACTTAGTATCTGAATCTGAAACATTTGCCCTGTGAAATCAGGTAACATCCATGCTCTTCCAGGCTTGGCACAAGTGACTCCATCTTGTTGTAGCTTCCACAGCCACTGTTTTTATTTTATTTTTCTTTAAAAGTTATTATTCAGTGATTACGTGTGTGTGTGTGTGTGTGTATAATCTCCAAATTATTCCTATTTATCCAACATCACTTCATTATTTCTTTTCCTAGCCCTTTAGTCATGAGGATGGTTATATATATCAAGTGTGAAATTTGCTCTTCAGTTTAAACAGATGTAGAATGATTAACATGTCGTTAAAAATAGCTGTTCATTTGGTTTCGTGGCACACCAATCTCTGGGCCTTCCATTTTTCTTCTGCCTTGTCACTTATTTTACCTTCTTTTCATCAGTAAGTATCTCTTACATATCACTTCCTCTCAAAAGTTTCCCTTAGCCGATTCTAGACAAGGGTTAGTGTTCTTGCTATAGCATTATACTGCCTTTATCAAAACAGTTACTACCACACTTTTTCATTGCTGGTTTAATTGTTCATCTGTCTGTTAGAGATCAGATTTTGCTCACCATTATATTTCTAGCATAGTGTCCAGCACATGTCTATATGTATGAATGAATGGAAGAATTAATTTATTGCCATTTTTAATGGTAAGACTTGAATGGTAAGAAATCACAAATTTCTGCAAGTAGTACATGGCTTTCAGGTCCCTCAAAAATCGCCTCTGAGTAGAAATACAAATCAGCAATTTTTGCCTTCTAAGAGTTTTCCTTGAGAGTCACACTACCGGAAACATGCAATAATCTAAAATTGAGATTGAAACTAATATAGGATTCTTGATCGTTTTCATTGCCTGCCTAAGTGATACCTCTCTGTTGGACATACAATGACATACTTTTCCCTCATGAAAACAGAGAAAGTTACTAAAGTTGGGGAGATCCATGTGAAGACACTAGAAGAAATTCTTCTTGAAAGAGCCAATCAAAAACGTGGAGAATTGCAAACTAAACTCAAGACGGAAGGACCTTCAAAAGCCGATGACTCCACTTCAGGAACGAGAAACTCCTCCAGTATCCGAATCAAAACCTTTTCTGAGGTGCTGGCTGAAAAGAAACATCGGCAGCAGGAAGCAGAGAGACAAAAAAGCAAAAAAGATGTAACTTGCATCAAGTTAAAGACTGATAGCGAAATTAAGAAACCGGTGGTTTTGCCACCCATAGTTGCCAGCAAAGGACTGTCAGAGGAGCCTGCAGGTAAAACAAAGTCAATGCAGGAGGTGCGCATCAAAACGCTGGAGGAAATTAAACTGGAGAAGGCACTGAGGGTGCAGCAGAACTCTGAGGGCAGCAGCGGCGCCCAGCCCCAGCCTGAGGGCATGCCAGGGGCAAGGCGGCTCCTGCGCATCCCCAAAAGGACAGGTAACCAAAGAGCTCCTCTGTAGTGTTGCTTGCCCAAGATAGTCATAGAGTTCTGAGAACTTTTATTTGTTCAGATAACTTTAAAAAGCACTGGATTCAATAAAGTTAAGCTATTTTTTATAGCAGCACCATACAGACCTTTGATATCCTAATGTACATTTTGAGACTTTAAGAGGACTGATTGGTTTTATCTGTAATTTATTTTGTCCTGTCTTATCATTATTTGCATTAAGAAACATTTTGCTTAACTTCAGCCATCATGAAGTCACAACCTACATGAAATAATTAATGACGTGTTTAATATGAATATAGGTATAAAAGAAGAGAAGAAACTTCAGGAAGGAAGTGAAGTTGCATCTCAGAGCAGTGTTACTACAGCAGAGGCTAAAGAGGTGAGTTTATTTGAGATCACTGTGTAGTAGTTTTTGTCTGTGGCAAGCAAGGGCTAGATAAATGGTAAAATGTGCGTTTTAGTATTGGTTTACAATAAATTTCTGTGAAACGCTGGTAATATTATTATTCACTATGCTTATAGTTTTCTATGAGAGTTTTCTCTACTTCTATGTATATGTCCTCTGCCCTTATAAAAGTTGTTTTTAATTGGCCATTGATGTTCTTAAAATTTATTTCCTGCCTTTCAGAGTAATAGCGTTTTATGGATTAAATTGTGTCCCCCAAAAATATGTGTTGTAAATCCTGTGGTTATAACCCCATTTGGGAATGGGCTGTTTGTTATGTTAATGAGGTAGTTAGTCTAGGGTGTATCTTGAGTTAATCTCTTTTGAGATGTGAAAGATATTAAACAAGCCTGCAGAGACCAGAGACAGGGGAAGAGAGATGCCAAATCACATGAAGATTGCCAAGAAGCAGAAGCTCAGAAGACATAAGGACCTTACTCCAGAGCCAGCAAAGAGAGAAAGCCTCCCCCCTGGAGCCGGCATCCTGAATTCGGACTTCTCGCCTCCTAAACTGAGAAAATAAATTTGTTAAAGCCACCCACTTGTGGTAGTTCTTGTTACAGCAGCACTAGATAACTGAGACATAGTTCTATAAAACTTGGGAATTTCTACTTGATAAAAGAATGGGAAAACCCTCATAATTCCACAGCCCAGATGTAAGCACTATTAATTTTTTCATGAATTTCCTTTCTGCCTTTAGTTTATATATGTATGCATGTGAACTTGTTTAATATTTAATTCATGTTTACAACATAACTGAGAACTCTACAGTGTATCTTTTGCAGACTGCTTTTTTTAAAAATAACTACGATATTAATAATTCTTCAAAACATTTGTTTTTACTGGCCACGTAATATTCTATTATACAGATATAATCTTTCTGGGCATTTAGATTTTGGTTTACATAATTATAAATAATAGAATAATGAACATCTTTGTACATAAATCTTAGTGCAGCTGTCTGATTATTTAGATGTCATTAGTATTTGACTTAAAGTCATGCTTGTTCAACCTATAGAAACTGAGATTTTATTGTCCACACATCTTTAAGCTTTCATTTTAGCTTGGTAATGTCTGTTTAACATCAAATAAAGAGCTTTTCTCTTGGATTCTGGGTCATATCAAATTGTGCTTGACTTAGATGTTAACCCAGTGTCTTAGTTATCTTAGTGCTGCTATAACAGAAATACCACAAATGGTTGGCTTTAACAAACAAATTTATTTTCTCACAGTTTAGTAGGCTGAAGTCTAGGGTGCCAGCTCTAGGGGAAGGCTTTCTCTCTCTGGCAGCTCTGGAGGAAGGTCCTTGTCTCTGAGCTTCTGCTCCTGGTCAGTCCTCATGTGGCTTGGCATCTCTCCTCCCCCATCTCCGCTTTGCTTGCTTGGTTAATCTCTTTTATATCTCAAAAGAGATTAACTCAAGATACACCCTACACTAATCTTCCTCATTAACATAACAAAGACAGCCCATTCCCACATGGGATTATAACCACAGGCAAAGAGGTTAGAATTTATAGCACATTTTTAGGGGACATAATTCAATCCATAACATTCTACCCTTTGACCCCCGAAAATTCATGTTCTTGCCTCTTGCAAAACACATTCACCCCATCATATCAATCCACTCCAAGTCCCAATCTCATCTTCTGAAGCATCTAAATCAAATATGGGTGAGATTTTAGGCTTATTCCATCCTGAGGCAAAATTCATCTTCCTCTGTGAACCAGTGAAATCCAGAATACAGGTTATCTACGTCCAAAGCACAATGGTAGAACAGGCAGAAGGTAGACATTTTGATTACAAATGGGAGAAATTGCAGGGAAAGAAGGGATAATTGGCACCAAGCAAGTCTAAAACCCAGCAGAACTAATTATATTAGCTCTCAAGGCTTGAAAATGATCCTCTGTTCTCTGAGACCAGCTGGGCAGTTGACCCACCCTCCAGACTCTTGAGTGTTGGCCTCGCCCCCTGGATTCTTGGTGGAGGCCACTTGGCCCTGGATTTCAGCTCTGCCTTCAAGGCCCACTGGGATAGCAGTGGCTTTGGGTGGCCCCATTCTCCTAGTCCATCTGAGTGGCAACTCTACCCCCTCAGCTCTGGCAGGCCCCTTTCTTCTGCCCTTTGGGCATGGCAGCCCCAACCCCTCAGCTTTTGCAGGCAGCCGCATCCCCCAGCGCACTGTAATGGCAGCCCCACACTCGGGAACTGAGTTGTCAAAGATCCAACTCGCAGAAACCTAGGAGGCTGTAGCCCTACCCTTTGAGATCCAGGAGACCTTGGCCCCACCCTTTGAAACGAGAAGCCCCTGCTTCCCGTGCTCCTTTCAACAGTTCTGCTGATCTCCGTGCTATTCCAGGGAATGGTCCTTTTCTTTTCTTGGAGGATAATAGGTGTAGCTACTTTGGCTTGTTTCCACCTGTAGAATTCCAAGAGGCAGTCAGCGTTCTTTCCATGACCAGATTAAGGCATGTAAGTGTCCTAAGCCTTGATAATCTGTAGTGCCCCTTCCTCTGCTTGCTCACTCATTCAATTGGGATATGAGAATTAGATACATATACATGTGGAAACCCTGGTGGCATAGTGGTTAAGAGTTTGACTTCTACCAAAAGGTCAGCAGTTCAAATCTGCCAGACGCTCCTTGGAAACCCTATGGGGCTGTTCTACTCTGTCCTCTAGGGTCGCTATGAGTCAGAATTGACTCAGTGGCAACGAGTTTGGTTTTTTTTCTTTTTTTATATATAGGTGTGTGTGTGTCTGTCTGTCTGTCTGTGTCTTAGCTATCCTTGATGTAACTTCTTTTTAAACACGACTATAATATTAGCTATTGCACACAAAGGTTGCATATGCCATTTTAGGGAATGAGATAAACTAGATTATAAATTTTTTAGTGGGTATGGGGTACTAACTTTTTCTATATACCCTATTTTCTACAAAAAGAATATCCCACATATTCCACAACAAAGAAAATGAGTCAGTGAACTTGGTTGTTTCAAAAATCAGTGTAAAATTCTGTTGATCTGTCCTGTCTGCTTGGCGTCTGTGGGCCTTCGTGTTGGACATCTGGTGCCCCTGTTTTGTTGATGCCGTAAGCATGTGCTTACCTTACTTACTAGGTTTTCTGTCCCTGGTTCTTTCCTTTCGTTCTTTGTCTTTCCCCTTCACTCTAAGCTGGTGGGTTTTCTACTGTGGTAGTTGGTTAGATCCATCAGTCATGGACTTAATCTCTTTAACAAAAGATTATGTAGCCACATCCTTGGTGAACATTCTAGGACGTGTTTGTATAGGAGAGTTTTCCAAATCTTTAAGTTCTGTTTCATTTTGCACAGTTCATTTTTAAGTCCATCTCTTTCCTCTCGCATTTTACTATAAGCAGCAGGGAGAAACCACACAGCCCCTTTAAGATCTTTCTTAGAAATCTCATCAGCCAGATGTTCAAGTTCATCACTTACTAAGTTCTGCCTTCCACCAAACCATGGAACATAATTCAGACAAATTCTTTGCCACTGCATAAAAAGCATTACTCTTCCTCCATTGTCCAGTCACATGTTCATCGTGTTCTTTTAAAGTCTCACCAGAAGCACATTTAACATCCACGTTTCTAGCAACATTCTGGCACCATAGGTATTCTCTAAGACAATAGAGACTTTCGTATCTCTCTCCTCACATCCTTCTGGGCCGTCATCAGATTCACCTTTGACGTCTTTAATTCTACCAACAGTCTCTTCAAGGCAGTCTAGGCTTTTACTGTTAAACACCTTAAAACTCTTCCAGCCCCCACCTATTATCCAGTTCCAAAATTGCTTCCACATTTTAGGTATGTGTTAGAGCAGCACCCCACTCTCCCAGTACCAAATGTCTTAGTTATCTAGTGTTGCTGTAACAGAAACACCACGAATGAGTGGCTTTAACAAATAAATTTATTGTCTCACAGTTTGGGAGGCTAGAAGTCTGAATTCAGGGTGTCGGCTCTAGGGGAAGGCTTTCTCTCTGGGCTCTGAAGGAAGGTTCTTGTCTCTTCGAGCTTCTCTTGGGCATTCATCAGGTGGCTTGGCATCACTCTTCCCCGGTCTCTGCTTTGCTTGTTGAATCTCTTTCATCTCTCAGAAGAGATTGACTCAAGATACACCCTACACTAATCCTGCCTCGTTAACATAACAATGACAACCCATTCCCAGATGATTAACACCACAGGCATAGAGGTTAGGATTTACAGCACATATTTTTGAGGGACATAGTTTAATCCATAACACCCAGTGTCTGTTAAATAATGTTTATCATGTAGATTGAGGTACTAAATTTTAATGTCTTTGAAACTTACCAATAGGTTTCTGATGACACCACAGGAGGTGACATTATTAAAATTCAAGTTAAGAGATGTGAGACAACGAGAGAGAAACACATGCAGAAACAGCAGGAGAGGGGAACCCCACAGAAGGAAAAATCTGTGTTAACGCCCCTTCAGGGAGACGTAGCTTCTTGTAATACCCAGGTGCTGGAGAAACCAGTGCTCACTACTGTACCGGCTGTCGCTTGGCACCCGACAAAGCGGCCACCCACAAAGTCATCCCAGAAAGTGGAAGTAGAAACCTCAGGGATTGGGGATTCAATATTGAACGTGAAATGTGCAACACAGCCCTTGGAAAAAAGGGGTAAAGGTGAGTGCTTCTTATAGTGTATCTTGCTTTAGGATTTCAGAATTACCAAGGCTAATTTACTCCCTGGAAACAACTGGGTTGAATTTAATTTGCCTTATATACTGATCAAAGGAGCCCTGGTGGCACAGATGGTTAAGCACTCGGCTGCTAACCAGAAGGTTGGTGGTTCAAACCCACCCAGTGGCTCCGAGGGAAAAAGACCTGGTAATCTGCTCCTGTAAAGATTACAGTCCAGAAAACCCTGAGGCACTTCCACTCTTATCATGTGGGGTTGCCATGACTTGAAGGCACCTGTCTTAGTTATCTAGCGCTGCTGTAACAGAAATTCACAAATGGATGGCTTTAACAAACAGAAGTTTATTCTCTCATAGTCTAGTAGGCTAGAAGTCTAAATTCAGGGCGTCAGCTCCAGGGGACGACTTCCTATGTCGGCTCTGGAGGAAGGTCCTTGTCATCAACCTTCCCCTGGACTAGGAGCTTCTCTGCAAAGGAACCCCAGGTCCAAAGGGTGCGTTCTGCTCCCATTGCTGCTTTCTTGGTGGTATGAGGTCCCTCTCCTTAGGCCCCAGGATTCGGCCAGTGCTGCTGCTGGGGGGCTGTAACCCTTCGAGGGGGTAGGGTCCCCTGCCCATGTGACCCCCGAGTGGCATGCAGGATTGGGGTCCCCCCAAGCCACCTTTCCCCCCAAGTGCTACAGCCCCCCAGCAGCAGTGCTTGCCCAATCCTGGGGCTGAGGGAGGGGACCTCATACCACCAAGAAAGCAGCGCTGGGAGCGGAATGCGTCCTTTGGACCTGGGGTTCCTTTGCAGAGAAGTTGCTAGTCCAGGGGAAGGTTGATGACAAGGACCTTCCTCCAGAGCCGACAGAGAAAGCCATCCCCTGGAGCTGACGCTCTGATTTCAGACTTGTAGCCTACTAGACTGTGAGAGAATAAATTTCTCTTTGTTCAAGCCATCCACTTGTGGTATTTCTGTTATAGCAGCACTAGATGACTTAAGACAGCATCTGAGAACAACAATATATACTGGTTAGACAGGTAGAAAGTAATATCTCTGACAGTTTATTAAAAAGGACAAAAACTAGATGAATCCCTTTCTTAGAACTTAAAATTGCTGCCTAAAAAGCTGTATCTAAAAGTTCCCATGGTACATCTTCCCTCTGGTTTTAAAGAAGAAAAACACCAGGGAATAGAAGAACAGTGGAGAATTCAAGAGCCACTGAAAGAGGGGTCGTTTGAGTATGTAAATGTACATCGTGGGTGTTTGTTGTGGTACAGATTGCCTGTGGATCATTTTCAGGCTTTTGTTCTGTGCTATTCCTAGTATTGGAGGAATTTTTGGTATTTTATTCTGAATCATTCTCCATGTAAAAGAGAAATTATTCTAACTATTAATCAAATATTTTCTGTCGTTTGTAGCTAAACCCAAAGTGAATGTGAAGCCATCTGTGGTTAAAGTTGTTTCAGCCCCTAAATTGGTCCCAAAACGCAAGGCAGTAGAGGTCCACCCTGCTGTCATTGCAGCTGTGAAGCCGCTCAGTTCCAGCGGCATCCTGCAGGAAAGCCCAGCCAAAAGAGCAGCTGTGGTAAGAAGTGGATCTAACTCCTGGTGCTTTATTCCGTGTGGTGGGAAAGCAGGGCAGATCAGCACTCGTACAGCTCTCTGTATCTGTGCACACTGCTTCCTGCTATTTCCTACGCATTTTGGTTGTTTAGGTTGCTACTGTATTTTACATTTACAGTTAGACATCTATGGAGTGGCAGGATGGGATGTTTTTAACTAATTTTGGGGTGGCAAGGTATCTTACGTATATGTACACACAACCTATGGATTATTGATTCTTGAATTCCCAGGCTTAAAGAAAGCTAACATGGATCTAAGAGGACAGCAAAAGAAAATGAATTTGCTGAAACCAAAAAGCTTGACTTACCCTTACTCTTAACTTTTGTAGGCTGTTGTCCCACTCCTCTCTGAGGACAAATCAGTCACTGTGCCTGAGACAGAAAAAACCAGGGACAGGTAATACCACACAATCCTTTTTAACCAAACTTTAGACCTCTAATATTACTATTTATGCTCTCGAGAGACTAATACTGCTAGATAACTTTAACATTTATAATTTAGCCTTATCTAAGTACATCTTCTGAACTTCAGATTAATTGCAAGAAAACGTGAAATTCAGTGTTGCTGTTCTCCTTTGGTGCCATTGTTTATGTTTTGCCTGTATTGTTTAAAAGATGCTTTTAACACCTGGCTGAATTCTGTGTTAAATTATGAAAATGCTTAGTTCTAAATCAGTAAAAATGTTTATGTGTGCTGAGACACAATTCTTTCAGCCAACCGTTGAAAAGTGGCACTTTTCTAACATATATTTTTTCTTTACAGTCTTGTGCTGTCTCCAACTCATTCCTCCTCAGATCCCTCACCACCAGAAGTATCTGGCCCTTCCTCATCCCAGACGGCTACAAAAACTCGCCGACTCAGCTCTGCTTCAACAGGAAAGCCCCCGCTCTCTATGGAGGATGATTTTGAGAAACTAATATGGGAGATTTCAGGAGGCAAATTAGAAGCTGAGATCGACCTGGATCCTGGGAAGGATGAAGATGACCTTCTGCTTGAGCTTTCAGAAATGATTGATAGCTGAAGGTGGTAGTGCAAAAACTTTAAAAAAAAAAAAAAAAAAAAACCACACCAAAAAATTGGACTTAGTTTCATCTATTATAACATTTACCTGAGGCGATTATTTCATTAGTCTAGAATTTGCCCCAAATCAGAAGTATACCTCTGAATTACCTGTATGTGTCCCAGATTTCTTGGGGTCAGATTTTTAAAGTCACTCATTTCGTTTTGTTCATTTGATGCCATTGTTTAGCATCTTTGAGAATAAGTCTTTTATTTTTCTCCCCACAAAAGGAGACTGAGAGGAGGATCCACATGAAAAGGTGCAAGAGAACTAGTGACTCCTTGAGGTGTTTGTCAGTTTTGGCTCCCCCCTGCCCCCGACCCTTTGTTGTATTATTTCTTTTATGTATTGTCTTAATGTGCTTAATATTACCGGAATTTGAAAAGGATGAAGATAGCTGCTACCATTAAGGACCAAATTCATGCTACCACTAAACAAAAAAAATTCACTTCGTCTGTGTTAAATTGTATGTTTTTTTAAATGTGTTTAGAGATTCAACTAAGCTTTAGAAAGGGCTGAGTAGCTCCGGAAGCCAGTAATCTGGATGTAACCTTGGACCTGATTGTGATGCTTCTGCTGCTCTGGAAGCCTCTGAAGAGCAATAGCTAATTTATTATTACTGTAATTTCTTAAGGCTTTAAAGTGCCTCAGGGGTCCCCTGAAACTAATTTTCTATTTCTGGAATTCCCTGGATTCTCTATAAGAGATGGTGACATGATTAGAGGAATTCCTTTTTAGTATGAAAGTTGTCCCTTCTTCAGTACTTGCCTCCTATTGGATTATCAAAGGGACAAAAATTGGTTAATTTTTTATTTTTAACTCTCCCAGCAAACTCCTCTTGCCCAGTATTTATTTGGGTCCCTATATCTAACTGAGGGGCAAAAATGAACTCATTTAAGCTGCCAATATTTATCTCTGGACTGTAGCAGTACACTGACTTGTACTGCAACAGGGATATTGAGACACTCGGGGGGTGTATTGTATACCTTCCAGTTCTGCAGTTTTCTTCATTTCTGAATTGAATTTTCTTTTCTTGTGTTGGTCTCCTTCATATCACCTCAAGGGTTTAGACTTGCGAAGGAACAAGAGTGATGGGGATAGTAGTCTTGAAAGGAGACATACTGTACATAACCAGAAGGAAAAGGAAAGGACTTAGTCATCTGGTATTTTGCTGTAGGTGGCCAGTTTTGTTTCTGTAGGGAAATCTGCCCCACCTGTCATGCTGCCTCCTGAGGAACTGCTGTAGTAAGCGGCTCATCAGGAGTCGAACCTTATGTCGCCTTGTTGGGAATATGGAGAAGGAAGAAAGCCACAGCACTGCCCGTTCAGTCTTGGGAAGATCTGGATGATTCTGCGCAAGCAAAAATGACTTGAAGTTTATATATAGACACCTCTCTACCAATCCATCTTCAGTGACTGAATGTTGTAAGATAGCCCTCCAAAGCAGGGGTGGAATGTTCTGATTTCACCACAGATTTTCTACTCATTGCATTTTTGGAATTACAGATTCCAGATCCCTTTTGTATATAACCTTTATTCTTTTGTTTTTTAAAAATAACTTGGTTTCATATTTAAATCCCTGTATTAGTCAATGATTCATGTTCAGCATTATTTCAACCATTTGCCATTACAAAAAAAGAAATACTTATTTGTGTTTTAAATAAAACTGGTGTAGGAAAGTCTTGACGTCGTAAGTAGTCTAACATTATTTAAGCTTAGACCCTGCCTCGACAGAGGCCCGGGTCAGAATTTTGTTACCCTTTTTGTAAATGGTCCAATTTTGCAGAGACTATTTGGCTTTAGAGCGCTTTCATAAGGACATGTGCCAAATACATTCACATGTGTGCTTCAGTTTTAACTGCATATGCATTAGGTAAGAATGCATATGATTATTGTATGTCCCTTCTATCACCTAAGAATTTTTTCTGACACTGATAGTCGTTATTAGTGTGATTCAAGTAATGCCATTAAATTTTTAAAAGGAGGGGGAAGGTTGGAAGTGATTTTAAATTCAGTGATATAGAATTTCAAGCATGAAGGTATAGTGTGTAAAAAATCCTTTAATTCAGGAGAGTCCAGATGTTTTCAATAGTGTGCCAGTTTTTTAATTGTTACAGGGGTAAATATATATTCGTTAGCTACCAAAGAACATAGATCTTTTAATAGTCTAAAAGTCTCAAGTTGAATCAACCTTTCATAAAACACGAAACAGATTGTATATGTAATTTTGAGTGATGATGGCCTTCAATTTTAACAGTAGGAGGAGGGCCCAAATGTTGCAGAGTTTGGCCATAGCGAGAAATTTCAAGGTAGTTTTGAACTCATATTTGCCTCAAGATAAATGATCCCCAAAATTCTGACCTTAACCCAAATTCCAGTGGAACCTCTCATACGTCCAAAACAGCTTATTTTTCATCTCAGTCAGTCTGAAACCACCATAGAGATAAGACTGATGTTTAATAATTTCAATTTCAGGAACAAAATTTGATCGCTATTGATCAAAGTTCTGTGATCCTTTTCTAAAATTGTGACTCCATTTCACCAGAATCATTCTGCAGTGATTAACTGATTTGAATTTGGCAGTTTAGCAACAGGAAATGCATCGTCTCCAGCTGCTGCTTAGTAGGCAACACTCTTTCAAACTAACGAGCGTTAATTAAGTACTTACTATTAACCTCTTAATTCACATACCCATTTTGACACTGAACCCTACACTGCATTGGAAGATCATTGCTGTATCTCCCACTGGTTTCAGTGTGTAGATTCAACAGTACCTTCTTATGAACCAGTGGGTTTGATTAGTTGAACCTTTCAAGAACCTTTTTTTCTTAAATGTTACCTTAAGAAGCTGCTCAATAAATTTTTGAAAGTTTCCACAATCCAGACATATGAAATCTCTGAAGTGTTTCAATTTATTTTGAATTTGCAAAATGATGTTAAGGACATGGGCCGAAAGAAAATACTTCATCATTTTCTCAACATTGTATAATAATACAGGCAAAAATTAAGCAATGATCTTAAATTAGAACGGCAATCCAGAAATTTATTTTTTAAACTTAGGTTCTAGAGGATTTGTTGAGTTGCCCTATTAATAAACTATTTAAATTTGGTTGAATTTATAACTTTTTAGTGTATTAAATATGAGTCTATGGTAATAAGCAAAAAGCCCTAAGTGAACTAAAATTTGGTATTTGCTTTCCCCAGGTTTTTTGGTTTTAGATTCTGACTGATTTGTCCTCAAATAGGAGTGAAGCCTATGGAGTTAGGAGTAAAGAAAGGTAAGCACAGCCAAGATACAGATTCTGAAGAAGGCAGAGAGGGAAAACAAGACTCCTGTTTGTTGAATAAGTAAATGAGGGGAAGGAGAAGCAAAATGGAAGGAATTACTGATGGGTATCTGTGGATAATGAGGTCATTTATTAGGATTGGGAACTCAAGGAGGGTGGTCAATTTTAGAAAAGTGACTGTGAGGAAGCATGATGGAAATATATTGGTGTGTAACTACCACAAAGCATTTCGGAATCCTATCCCTGGTGGCACAATGGTTAAACTCTCGGCTGCTCACCAGAAAGGTTGCCGGTCGAGCCTACCAGCGACTCAGCGGGAGAAAAGAACTGGTGATCTTTTGTAAAGGTTATGGTCTAAGAAACCTTATGAGGCAGTCCTACTCTGTTAGTGGGGTCACCATGAGTTGGAATCTACCGCATACAACAACTACCACTTGAAGAAGCCTAGATTAGAACTTAATGTACTCTAGCCATCGTTAAACACTACTGGCCGCTGGGTAGACGGGTATAAGCCAAGCCCCTGCCGATAAAGTACTTAACCTGTTGCCATCGAGTCAATTCCGACTCATAGTGACCCTACAGAACAGAGGAGAACTGCCCTGTAGGTTTTCCAAGGAGCGGCTGGTAGATTTGAACTGCTGACCTTTTGGTCACAGCCAAGTTCTTAACTACTGCGCCACCAGGGCTCCTTCAATTACTTAGGAAGTACTTTTAGAGAAAACAGGAGTGAAGTAGGTGCAAGTATTAAGTGGGTGCTGCTATCGAGGGGATAAATGAGAGAGAAGTCAATGAGTTCTAGACTGATCAGGGACAGCTTTCTGGAGGTGTTAGAGGCCGAGTTTGTGTAACTTAGCAAGGGAGATGATTTGGGTGGCAAACAAGGCCAAATTGAGCAGGTAAGCTTTGTTTTCATAACCTCTGACCAGCCTGTTGGTACCCTTCCGTAGAGCCTCTGCTTTGTCTCATTCTTGCTCTCAGTTGGTTATCAACTGTTATTCTTGGCTAAGGTATGAATGGGAAAGAAGGATCTATTTCAAAATGCAAATCTAAGTCACTGCTTCATAAACCCTCTTTCCTCCCACATCAACCCACCAGATTGCTCTCCACCACTGACACTTCATGCTGTACCCTCCAGCAAAACTGCTTGCCCTTGATTTCGCCAGTGTGCTAATCTCTCTCTCTAGCCCTTTGTCTTTGTTAATGTTATTGCTTTTCTACATAAAAGTTTATTCCCCTCTTTTCTTTTGGCTATGACCTTCAGGCTGCCTCTCCCAACACCCCACTTTTCCTCTACCCAAAGTGGGGTTTGTTTGGTTCTTGACACCAATAATGTGTGTGAACAGTCCACATCCTGACAGGCCTTTCTTGCTTTGGAAATGCTGTTGATGGTGTGACTCCTGATTCAGCATTCTTTCAAGAAGGTTTCAGCTAGACTCTGACCATATCATACATGTAGATAAAGAATTTTATCCAGCAGTTTGCAGATTACCAGCAACGGACTCCACTATGTTTTTAAGAATTATGTGAGAAATAATTTTATAGCCTTCAAATAAGACCATCTGTGAATTCAATCATTATCTGACCCAATCCTCAGAAGATTACAACTTTTTTTTTATTGTACTTTAGATGAAGGTTTACAGAACAAATAGTTTCTCATTAAACAGTCAGTACACATTGTTTTATGACATTGGTTAACAACCCCATGACATGTCAACACTCTCCCTTCTTGAC